GCCAAGAACTCTTGCTCCATCTCTCGGTCGCACCGGATCCTTGCACACCAAACCGTAATCCGAAAAGTGTTGTCTTACACGCGATGCAGAGGCCAGACTTTCATTAATGAAGATATCATCAACGTATGCTGATGTGGCACTTTCAATTGTGCGGTCTTGCGATGTGATGGCGTCTATAACGGATTTCATAATGAGTGGCGCCACATTTAGCCCAAATCCTAGCCGCGTAAGACAGAAGCGTAGGCCTTTGAAAATAACCATTTGAAACGGCCACAGCGCTTCGTCGATGTGAATCTGAAGATATGTGTTCTGCAGATCCAGAAGTGACACATTGACTCCCTGCCGCTGCCACGTTATGTGCGCACACTTCTGCATCGGCAGTAAAAGCATCCACAAAGTCGTTCAATTCGCGGTAATCGAAAGTACCGGATGCACCTTCTGTTTCTGCTCCTGCACGACTGCCATCAAGGGAATCAGACCCTTTGGGGGTCCCAGTCTTTCCTGGGGGGTACGGAATCAACCAGCCGTTCGCAATCCACTGTTGAAGCTCTTTCTCGTATTTTCATCTGATGCTGTCGGGAACTTTGTACTCTCTCGGACGTTGTTGTGAAGCTGAACTGGTGGGTCTTTTGGGCCCATTTCACCTGGCGGTCCACACCCTTTCGTCGGAATTGAAAGAGACGTTGAAATCCGGCTCACTAATGCAAAGGGCTGCACACACCTTTCTTCCTTTACCCAGTTCCACATTTCCGGCTGGCATGATTATCATGCCTCCTAATGCTCGGATCACATCAATCCCAAGCAGCAGGTCGTAACCGAGGGGCCTTTGACGTGCCACCAAAATGTTGACCTTGGCATGATTCCCTCCGTCTGTGAGGATTGATACAGTTCCGACACCATAGCAGGCCCGGGACACTCCGTCAATCGTCTGAATCTCAATTTGTTGACTGTTCCATGTCACGCATCGATCCGCACTAACGATCGATTGGGAACATCCAGTGTCAACGAGCGCCAAACATCGTTTACCCTCAACGCACATGTTGACAACAGGCAATGCCACCTTTACTGACGAGGGGCAAGGGTTGCGACAGCACCTTGTCCCCGGACTAGATTTCGAGCAATCCTGTGCTTTCGTGGCCTAACTCTTTGCAGTGATAGCAGCGTAGTCGTGCTCGGTTCCGTCGGCTGCTCCCGCCTCCCTCGTCCGCCGGCTCCGGCAGTCCCTAGAGAAATGGTTGGGTCCACCGCACTTTGGGCCCTCCCGTGGTGTCTCGGCGTTCTCCACGGCTGCCGCGACCTGTTCCATGTCCTTCAAGATGTTTCGGGCCCTGGCTAGCAATTCGTCAATTCCCAGTGTGTCAATCTTGAAGACACTCCCAGGAGCCAACTGGTGTCGTCGGGAAGCCCTGCCAGGAAGGCGCACCCCAGTATGCGGTTCGTTGCTCGCCAAATGGTACTGCCAGCCTTCGCAAATCAACCAGGTAGACATCCATGGTCTCACTCGGTTCAAGCCGCCACCCGATGAACTGTTTCCAAGTGATGAAGGGGTCTATTCCAAAGGCCGTATATAGGGCACCCTTGATCTCTTCTAGGTCAGCATCGTCCCCGAGTTGTTGATATACAGCGTAGGCTCCCCCCGTGAGTCTCATTGGGATGACCAGTGCAGGTTCCTTTATTTTGGACACCCTGCAAACACGTTCAGCCTTTTCAAACTATTCGACGACACTCGGGCCCGTGGGGGAGCCGTCGAATTCTGGGATCAATTTTAGATCGAACTTGTCCATTGCCGAAATAGCTTGTGGGAGGTAATGCAACAACTCAACTGATAATAGCAGGTAAGAACAAAGAACCATGAGGAGGGTAACCAAAAACAAACCCGGTGTCGCCCGTCCAACCTTCTCACGAAAGCCCTCTCATCCAAAACAGCAAAACGCACCTGCTTTATACAGCCGAGGACCGACCACGATTTGCATGCGAATGACGAAACAACGAGATTTCACGTTAACTAACCGAGACCGCTCGGCATAAAATATGGGTGCCGCCATTTTGGTTCCTTTTACCGCTGGAGAACTGGAGTTTGCACACCGCACAGATTCGCAGGCATTTCTGAGGTAGGCCATTTTCAAAATTTTCCCCACATCATCTAAACATTTGTCACGGGAATAGTGATAGAATAGCAACAGACTTGCAATGTTTGGTTTCTGTGTAAAAAGTTGTAGAGTGGAAAATAAGGCATCCTTTAAATGACTGAATAAACAATTTTGAACTTTGTCAAGGTTGGACAAGAGAAGACTGGGCAACTCCAGCTCAGAAATGGCAGCAGTACACCATGTTTATCTGAATTTGACTCTTGTAAAGATAAAGCATGACAGAAAGAAACCAATACTTCCTGGAGGGTTAAAAAAGCTGGGAAAAAAAATGAGATCATTATCTCTCTTTTTTTTTTTTTTTTTTTTTTTTTTTCAGTTTTTTAACCATGGTTTCTAGATATGAGTTGCAGTTGAGGTCTGGAATGAACTTGAGAAGTTCATCCTGGTTTTGATAATAAACTACATCCAGCAGCAAAGCCTCTGATTGGGAGGTTTTGAGGAGCATTGAACCAGTTCTTAATTGCTGCTGTTCCCAGGTCCACCTGAACTGGGAATGGTATAACCTGCTAGGGTCCCAACTATGGGCAAATAGTTAACCCCCAAACTGGGGTCAAATGCTATGAAAGTATAAAAATAGATTTTTATAATAAAAATACCAGCAATACATTTTTGTAATAAAAAAAAAAAATACTAATGCTCCTGTAGTGTATTGACAGCCTAAATCAACCCATACATTTTTTTTTTACTTTACGAATGTGTAAGCAAATGAAAAGCAACAAGAGAAGAACACAAAAAAATTAACTTTTTATAACAAGAACAAATTATATACATGAATAGTTAATAGTTACTTCCCTTTGACTGGAGAAATAATTTTTTATCTGAGCTCATAAAAAGTTGAATGAACTTGACATTCAGGATATTCACTGTGAGAGAGTTGAAAGAATTCTGTAAACCTGAAAATATGTTGATACTATTTTAGCTTCAGAAGAGTGAAAGGAGTGAATGTTCTGTAATGTTTAATTAGTTTTCATTGCTTGTAAGTGAATATTCGTAATGTTGTAATGTTCATAATGAAGTTTGAAAAGTTTTGTATGTATGTGTGCATGTCAATATGTTTCCATAGCATCTGCCAGCAAGGGGTCAAGACGTGATTTCTTTTACAACTATATTTTTCATAAGCGAATGAAATCAAAAGAGAGAAAGAACAAACTTTAGTCTGGTATTTATAATCAACGTAATCACGTGACAGGCTTGAAAGGCATTGACCAGATTTTGGATGGAATTATTTTTTAGTCAGGCCAAGAACTAGGATGATGTTATTCAGACGTAGTTGAGAACACAATTTAAATATTAAATGACCAATCAGAAATTGAGGTTTTTCTGAAAACATGTGTGAAGCTGGATAAGCTCTGTGATCTGCTTTTTGTACAGATTTGAACAAAAATCAACATTGGTAAAAAAAAAAGTGGTAGCAGGGTGCTAAACTCCCAAGAAAATTAAATTTTGGCATTAAATGACCTATAACGAGTTGCCGCTAAATGAACTTGAGAACTGGTAACTGTTCAAAGGATGGAGCTTCACTGAAAGTAGGATTCTTACTTGTGAAAATTTGGGGTCTAAATGTTGGTGATGAAACAATACCAGCATCATTTTTCAGGTATTTGAAGTAACAAGTCAGTTATTTCCTCATTGGGCTGTTAGGTCAGATGAGAGATCAGATTCAGTCAAAAGAAGAGAGACATTAGGACCAAAGAGTGAGTCTTAAGAGATGCCTGCATTGATATTGTGAGTTTCAGAAGACTGGCCATTCACAACGACCTTCTCGGAACAATACGAGAGCAAGGACTTAATAATTGCATCAATTCTTCCATAGGTGTATGACAGAAGGAATTAAGTACTTTCTGGAGTGGCACAAGGAACTGTCCATATTTCCTGCTTCTTTAGGAATCCATTACTAATTTCTTCAAGAAAGACTTGAAGAGGTTAACATTATAGTATTCAAGGAAAACATCCAAGTGGGTTTGTTCCGCAAAGTTAGTTTTGCAGTGTGAATTTTTTTCTTATATTTGGAACATGGAGGATATGAGGATGAATCAACTCCATGGAAGTAGCTTGACAAGTCTTAGATGTAAAGGTCTGAAATGGTGGAACTGAATAATATTTCCTTGCCACAAAAAGTCTGACAGAAATGGTGCCATAGTTTTTCATATGATATTTTTAAAACAGACATGAGCAAACTGCGTCCCGTGGGCCATATGCAGCCCATCTTAGTCTTTCTGGATGGCATGCTTAATTTCACAATCAAAATAATGTTTCTTAAAATTGTATTATTTTTTTTTTCTTTCTCACTTGTTCACTCACACAATCTCTCATACATAACCAATGATTAAGAACAATGTTTCTTTAATTTTGTAAACTTTCAGGGAAACTAACATTAAGATTTTAAACCCTTCACTGAGGAAGATCATACATGTAAACTTCTTTTACTTTTGAAACCAGAAACATAAGAATTTTTCTCTAAAAAAAAAAAAAAAAAAAAAAAAGAAATATTTTCATTTTCAAATAGATAAATCAGACCATCAGTGATAATATTATACCAAGACTTCAGTGTTTTTAATTCTAAAAAAAATAAAACATTCCTATTATTTTTAAGGTATATGTTTACACATATGGTCTTCTGTAGTGAAAGTAGCTGTAGCAAGGTAGCTACTACAAAAAATGACCTTGAATCTTTTTAGAAGTGTGGCCCGCCTAGTGTTAAGCCATGTATCATGCTGCCCACTTCTCAAAAAAAGTTGCCCATGCCTGTTCCAAAATATACAATTATTTTAATGTAAAGTTACACACACAATGAAAGTAATTGCTTATTTGATAAAAAATGTTTTTTTCTCTCTTTCTCTTCATTTGTAGATTATTTGGCCCATCGGACACTTGGAAAGTGTTCTTCAAACAGGCGGATGCATTTGCTTTTGTACACAAAGCCAGATTGGTGAGTGGTCGATATTGGACAATTTCACACAAGTAATTCACTACTAATTTTTAAAAAGTTAAAAGCAATTTTTGCTCCATCCTCTAAAAGAAAGATTATTTCATTTTAACCTCATAAACATACCTTGCTCCCCTGCAATGGTTGCTGACAAATTACATCTGACAGCAAGGCCTCTAATTGAAAGGATTTGAGGAGCATGGAATCATCTCATGCAATTGCTGTTTTTCCCTGTCCACCTGGATTGTGGGTGGTAGCATCTGTTAGGGTCCCAATTATGGGCAAATAGTTAATTCCCAAATTGGGGTCAAAACAATGTGAAAGTATAAAAAATAGTATAGTAAAAATACCAGCAATGCATATAACTCTTGACAAAAAACCTCTTTACAAAAATATGTCAATGAAACCTGATCTACAAATAAGTTATTCTATTCATACGAACATATCCTAAAAATCTTGTGGGCATTAAATAACCCATTGAGGTTGATATGCTGTAAAGCAAACTAAACCTTCACTGGCTTCATTCCTATTAATAGGAAAAATTGTAGGCAGTGGAATGCTTTAAAACACTGCTAGCATTTAAGAAATGATTGCTTTGAGATTTATCCTGAACAGAAGTCTTCAGTTAGATGAAATGATGTCTTTAAAAGAAAATGTGTTCATAATATATCACTCTACTAAAGACAAGTGTCAGAAATAATTTGAGATAGACTTGTGAAATTCTTGCATTCATTGTTATTATGGACATAAGATGCAACATCAAGCCTAGTCAGTACCTAGATGGGTGACTGCTTGAGAAAACCATATACTGTAAGCTTGGATGTATGCGTTGTGTAATGGATAATAGTTCGAAGAGCTGAGTTCCAATTCCAGTTTGCTTTGTTATATTCCCTTACATGCAAGTATCTTTGGAAAAGGTATGAATCCATTGTTTCTACTTCCATCAATGGTTTACTAAGATTTGTGTCACTAAACCATCTTCAAAAGAAATTCTTACAATCTAAAAGTATTTTCTGGCTTTGAATAACCTGCAAAAGGTTGATAAGCTGTAGAAAATCAATCAATCAATCAATCAGTCACGCAGTGGGTTGGTATAAAAGAAAATAATTTTTTGGAGTTAAAAATTTTTACTGACAGTAACAGTTATTCTTTTTTCTCCCATTATAATATTGGGTCAGAACAAAAATTTGTACCATTATTTAAGTGAATTTTGAAGTCAATACTTAGATATTTGTACATAGATTTATTCAACCATATATATGCCATTTTATTTCACTACCCTTTACCATTTTTGAGCCAACTTCATGATTCCATCCTCCTAGAACTTGGCATCATTCTAGGTGAGAAATTCGTCAGTGATTTTTACTAGAGAATTGAAGTTTTTTATTAAAGTGTTAAAATTAAAAAGTACTGTATTAAAAGTATTTTCTAGGGATCAAAATAAGTGATAATCCAAAGTTACAAGGTCAGTCGAGAGTACAGCTGGTGTAAATATACCAGCCAGTCTGTAACAAATTCAGCCGGGTCTGCAAGATCTTGCAATATCTTAATTGAATATCCTTCTTATTGACCAATTCTTGACACTTCTTAGTGACTACTGTTTTTAATCAGTCCAAATAAGATCAGAGTACTTGTCAGAATTTAATGTCTGATTTCTCACAAGGTGCTTATAATACCCAATGTCTTTTGAATCACCTTCAGATGCATATTGACATTTCCCCAGGATTTTTTCAATCAAGCTTGTTATAAACGGTCCATTTTTCATTGTGATCATTCTTTTAAAAAATTGGTTTGATTTTGTTGTATTTGAGCAGAGAATTGCAAATATAGTTTATTTAATTATTTTAATTAAATTCTGAGGCATCTGATCATCATAGCAAGTAACATATGCAAGTGTGTGAAAAATTTTTTTTTTTTTTTTTTAATTGATTTCACTCCAAGCAAGGCAGTAAAGCCACTAAGATACAAGTGGTAACTAGGTGTGGAAGAATTAGAAACAGAAACATTACTAATGAGAGGAAACAAAAGAAGACTAATCAGGAGGACAGTAGATAGATTGATATTGCATTTAAATTTTTGCAAGTTAAAGTTGGCTGGAAAACACAGAACTGGAACAGAGTTCCACAAATGAGAAGTGCAAGAAAAGAAACTATTAGCATATAATTTATGCCTTACAATGCCTGTATGAGATATGTGGAGTATCTCTGTGATGTTCCGTATCATATGACCTGGATTATTTTAATCAATCTATTGATTTGGACATCATCAATAGTAGCAAGCCTGTCGAAATGTTCTTGGACTTCTCGATCAAAATTTCCACTTCTGAACATAATATTCCATTTACAAACAGTACTCTCAGCTATGGTACCATTTTCATAAACAGCACATATCTTTTTTGCAGTTTGTACAGCATATTTCAAATGACAAAAAAAATCTCGTTTTCCACCATTTTCACTTTTCCCATAAAAAACATAAAATTTACAATCCCCACATGAATCATATAAAAACACATGTTGAAATAACACCTTTCAAAATATTCATATACGTCATAAATTTCAGTTGCATGTTCTTAATTGTTGTTGCTCCCAGTTCCACCCTGACCCGGGGTGGCAGCACCTGTTAGGGACTCATCTATAGACAAATAGTGACCGCCCCCCCCAAACCGTGATCAAAGCACTAAATATAAAAATAAATTTTTGCAGTAAAAATTTCCAGCAATAGATTTTAATCTTTATCACTCTGTGACTTCATTTGCTGTGCATAAAGCTTATCCTGCCCTGAACAGTAGTGTTTGAATTTCATAGTTGTGTTGTCATATCCTGCTATGACAACAAAACAACTTTGAGTGAAATTAACAATAAGGACACTGCAATTGAGAGGCCTTGAAAAAGAATGCAGTGGAAAGGTAAGTGATATTAATAATGCAGAGGGCTAAAGGTTAATAGTAAAATAAAAAAAAAATATATAATTTCCCATAAAAGATTTTAATAGTGAAAAAAAAAAAATTACCAAAGCTCTGAAGGAAATTAAAATTTGGCATTAAATGACCCATAAGGAGTTGATATGCTGTTAAACAAACCAAATCAGTAGCAAGTGAAATGAAATCAAATGTTCAAACATGACCTCTTGAAAACTCCTACAAACTTCTTTTTTTGTTTCTGATCCAATAGAAAAATATAAATAAAAATAATGTCTGAGATATTAAATCCAAATTCATGAATGAGAAAAAATAGCAGTGTGTTTTTGTTCTATTAAATGGTTTTCTATTTGTAGAATTTGCATGTGTTTGCATTTGAAAGTGAATCAAACAAGACTGACCAACAAGGGTTGCGTATGTACTTGGCTACCACCTATCCCGTCTTCTGGCACTATTACAGGTAAATTTTGATATTACCTCTAATTAAATGAAATCTGAGCTTTTTTTTTTTTCGCTTTTTTTTTTGTGTGTGTGTGTTCAATTTAATAATACTCAAGGTTTCATTTATTTTTGACTGCCAGAGACAAATACAGTTAAAAAACATTTTTATCCCATCATTCAATACAATAATTTAACATTCCCTAAAACAATTGTCTAAATTCTGTGTGCGCATTAGTAACTCCATTGACTAATTATGGAAGGGGTTTGTCAATGCACTTAATTCAGTTGGGTTTAATAATCACAAGAACAGATTATACCATGAACATTTCAGCTGAAAACTGTCAGGTTACAGACTCTTTGATCTACACTGTATTGTGCTATTCTATAAAAGGGCATAATGAAAAATTCACAGTCTGATCCACTTCCCAAAATCTGACCAAACCTCTATCCATGAAAACATTTGCAAGTTCAGTTCATCCAGTTTGATATTGTCTGTAATCTTAATGAATTTTACTGTCTCTTTCAGTTCTCTGAATTTATCAAATCTTGTAAAGAACTTATCAATAGTTGTTTTGTGTTTACTAACAGCTTTTGAAAATGTTGGTAGTCTATTCTGCCATCTTTTGGGAGATCATGGATGTACGTCTTTAGAAGGTACATCCATAATCTAAGTATTTAAATCTCTCATTATCTACATCCCTCTTAAAAACTTTTAGTTTCATTTGAAAAGCCTTTATGTAACCAAACATAATATCAAATGTCTTACCAGAGCCTTGCAATTTAATATTCAAGTCATTTAAATGTTCACAAAATTTTTTTTAAAAAAAAACATCAGTTTACAAACCCACATGATGTCAAACAATTCTTGGTATGATATTTATTGGTCATGCAAAAAGAGTTTTCACTCAACAAATTGTTTCAAAACCAAACCTCGGGTAAGCCAATGAACATTGTTGTACATTTTTAATCCTTTATATACAGATTCTACCTCGTTCAGTAAAATGTGAAATTGTCTTTTATTTAAAGCCTGAGCAGAAATGTAATTAACAACCTTGTTAACTGTTTGCATCAATTGCTGACGTTCCTTTACGTCAGCTTTTGCACACAAAGCCTCCTCCTGTATGTTGCAATGAAAACCAACATCTTTTGGAAACTGATTTGCAAATCCTGCCTTCTCACCAGTCATGCTGAGGGCTCCATCTGCTGTGGCAGATACTACTTTTGAATTGTGAATTTGTTGTGTAGATAATTCATTCACAACTCTTGTATTTCAGCACCAGTAGTATGCTCAGATAGTGTTACAATCAACATCTCTTCACATATTTCATCACTCCCTGCAAAATCGAGAAAATATGGTTATCCTAGCTGATGATGAAATGTCCATACTTTCATCAACACAAATAGAAAACTTACATGAAGACAAATCTTTTGTCAATTGTTCAGCCATATTCCTTTCCTTAATTATTTTCCTATTCACAGACAAATCTTTAATGCACTGAATAATCTTTTCCTTTTCTGAAAAATTGTGAAAAAGGAAAGACACACATTATAGCCAAGCATCTTTAATGCCAATCACTTAGTGGCTTTCCATGTTGGGCAATAACTTTTGAAACCTCAAAACTAGGATCAACTAAGTTGGAACCGGGCCTACCTGAAATAAAGATCATAAAAGTATCAGCTTTTGTTTTTTTTTTTGTTTTGCTCACTTCATGAGAAATTAATTCTCTTTTTTCCTCCTCAGTTTTATTACTTAAATTCTTATGAACATTTTCAAAATGTCTCTTTACAGAAGTCCTACAAATGATTGTTTTTGGAACAGAAAATGCTTAAGGCTTTATTGTCTGTCTTAATCAGGTCAAATTTTTCAGTCCAGTATTCTTTAAATTCTCTAATATCTTTTTCATTTGAATGACATCATTTCTTAGCTGATGATCATGACATTCTTCACAATCTGTAAATGGGCAGAAAATAAAAACTACATGAGATATACATAAAAGATGAGAAAGAATAAAAGTCAAAAAAGAATAAAGTTTTACATGCCAGTCATGTTTGGCACATGTGCCAAGGGTTGGTCACCCCATTTCCCTAGGCTAACTAAGGATATTACAATACAAGTGGCCAGCATACACCAATCAAAATTACCAAGTGGGCAAAACACCCATATAGCAAAAGATGGTACTGCCATTATTTCAAAGCTAGCAAAGATGTTAACTCCCATTTTAAGTGGAGAGATGAAAGGGGGAAATAAACACATCACCAAAACACCATAATTACATTACTTCAAATGTTCAGCATTTTTTTTGAAGGATACATGTAATTTTGGTTTTTTAGTGTTTACCCATTCACCCTAAAATGTAAAGTAATGGCATATAGATGTGATTATATCGATAGATATGTTCGGGTATTACATCTATATAGGTGTAATTATATTGCTAGATATATTTGGGTATATACATCTTGAGGTATAAAGATGCTAACATTTTATATAATTAAGACTGCATTCTTTTCAAATTATTGATATTTATAATTTTGTACATTTTTGGGGGTTTTTTTTTTTTTCTCCAGTCAACTTGATGAAACTCATCGTCACCACTATGAAATCATTCCTGAAGGTAGGACATTTTCTTTATATTAAAACCATAATTAAAGCCTTGTGAATGTATCTGTAATATTGTAAACAAAGAATGTTTAACAGGTTGCAAAAATTGATAGCATCTCCCCATCCAGTCTGCCTGGGATGATGTAATTTGGCAACTAATCAGAAAGGGTCTTTCATGAAACAGTTCCTCTGTGGTTATGCACTTGGCAGTAGTATACTGTCAAATGTGCTTCTGTGCTGTTTGACTTGCATTCAAGGAATCAAGCAATTAGCTTGCTCATGTCACATGCTGGGTACTTTTTAGCGAAACCAATCCTCACTTAGATCTTTGTGTACCCCACCTATTGTTCTGCTTTGGCACCCTGTAACTGGGTGCTCTTCCCAAAACTAAAATCATTGAGACACCATAGATGAGATTTGGAACATGACAGCTGATAGCACTTCCAGAAGAGAATTTTACAGGATGTTTTGAGAAGTTGAAATAAAGAGTACTTGGTTTAAAAAATTGCCAATGCTAGAGGTTAGCTAAAGTTTTCATCATTATTAAAGTGGCTGAATACTTTTCAGAGGTCTCATATATATATATATATATATATATATATATATATATATATATATATATATATATCACTTTAAAACTGCTTATGCTGATGACATAAGTATTCATAGGTGGGATAAGAATGATCTTAAAAAAAATCAATATCTTCTATCAAGTGTTCAAAGAAATAGGACTCAAGATAAACATTTTCAAAACAGAAACTATGATTTGAAATTGGAGTGGAAGTAGTGGAGGCATGTACTCTGAATCCATCATAAAAATTCAGGATGTGTAATTAATAAATACTAAACAGTTCAAATACTTATATGTATGGATCAATTATAACAAATTTCATGTAGCAGACAAGGACATTGAATATAGAATACATTCCTAGGCTTAGTTTTGCCCAACACGGCAAATTGCTACAAAACCAAAAATTTAACTTAAAAACTCAAGTTGTGTTCTTAAATATCTTTGACAGATCAAGACTTTCATATAGATGTCATGCATGGTACCAAACTTGTTCAGAAATATCTAAACTGTCAGCTTTATACAACCACTTTCTCAGATTGAAGATTAAAGGTGGCTTTGAATAAATGACTCCTGTAGGTCTTACTGAGTACCATCCTTCTTCAAACCTCATGGTCTGTTGCTACATAATCACAAACAAAGAGGCATACCAAATAACAGAAATCACTTCACTTGAGGACTTTCAATAACTGCAACAGCTAAAATAGATAGCACATATAACTTGAAGAGAAAATAATCAAGATGCTGATATTCCACAAAGGTTTGAAGTAGTATAGGAAAGGTATAAATCAACCTCTTTGCCCACCAATAATGGGTTAATTAGTAGAACTTGTGTCAGTAAATCATTATTATCCCCTCACCACCTCCAAAATTATGTACAAAATATTTTCTGGCTTTAAATAACCTGAAAAACTTTTGATGAGCTATTAAAAAAAAGCCGAATCAATTAAAAATTGATCACTACAATCTTAACTTTTTCAAGTCTATGGTCAACTGTTACCTATTATATATCTTTATAATCTGTACTTGTTATCTCCATAAAACTGTCCCATTCAGTAAACCTCTACCATGAGTGGCTCTTGGGCTTTGTATTAGGTGAATAATAGAGTAAAAACAAATAGTTAGCATCTGGTGCAAATGATCTATGCATTCAAACCTAATATTCTTCAAAACCTCTGTCATCTTGACAGTCCAGTGGATTGATACATTGTCCTGAAAAAAAGAGAACACACCGTTCGGCAATTTCCCTTTTCTGTTTTTTTTTTAATCAACATGGCAAATTGGATTAGTATTTTGCATTAACCTTTTGACCCTTCAGAAGATATCTTCCTTACCCCCAAAATGTGTGGCCTTTTTTGCTGACTTTTTAACTTTGAATTTCCACTTTGACAGTTGTTTTGGATCCTGGATCATCCATAGAAATGTAACAATGTTTCATTGATAGTGACAAGTCATTCCAAAAATTCTCACCAGACTGCTGAAAATGCAGCAAAATCAAACATGGCGGTGACCCTTCAATAGCACTTCAGGCACCTGTTTGGCTGACAGCTTCTGCACAAACAACTGCATATGAATTAAAAGCCTAATGTTTTCCTTGGTGTCTTTAGTGTCATTTGGCTGAGATTTAAGGGGCCAAAACTGATACACAATTTTAGGGGTTGACACTGTTATTAGCTTCCCAGATTGGGCTGCATCTTGGATTTCAAAATCTCCACAATGGAAATTAGAACACCACTTCTTTACAGTTGAAGATGAAAAGCCATTTTATACATCCTACATTCATGGATCGCCTTTGGAATTTTTTTTCTGGAGAAGCAAGTAATAGTCTGAAATAAAAACAAGGACCATGCAAATTGGTAATGCTCATTCCAGCTTCTTCTTCATCTATTTGCTGTGTTCCTTTAGTTGAGTTTGAAGAAAATAAAAAATTGTTTAGAAATTTATCTTAAGTTAAAATTTGCTGTTTATTTCCCTGTGTCTTTTCTAAGATTTAGGACTTTAAGTGCAGTACTAGATTGGCAGTTAGGTCTAATCATTTTACAATTGTGAAATGGCCAGATGTAACCCTAAGTTTCATACTAACAGTTTCTTCTCTTGCACTTCTTGCTAATGGATCTCTCTTCCAATTTCTTGCTTTCCAGTCAACTTTGATGTTCAGAAATGTTCTTTTTATTGTTCTCTCTCTTTAATAATGTTTTTTTTCTCAGATTTTTTCACTCTCAATAAATCTACCCTATGCATCTTAGTGGCTTTATCCCCTTTCTTGGAGTGGAATGATTAAAAAAAAAAAACTCCAGTTTCTCCGGGGTGTTTCGAAATGTTTCATACACCATAAAATACTGTAAAGTTATATCTACCTACTCACCTGAAAATGTTCAGGAATAAATCCTTTCGTTACTATTGGATTCGATATAAATTCATTTATAATTTGCATGTGTCTATGTATGCCTATGGCTTCAAACTTATGTATGCAACTGGTATGATGATAATATGCATTGCAGGACGGGAGGCTTCCTAGGCTGAAGTCAATGGCCTGGGTGGAGGTTTGACCTGGAGAGGAATGGGCTCTGCCAGGCATGAATGAATAACTTTCCAGTTTTAAACCCACATATGGAAGGAACTGGTCAGTTCTCAACAGAGATATATAATGTGTGTGTGGGGAGGTTGGCTTGCATGCGTGTATTTAATTTTGGCAGTTATTTATTATTAACAATAGAATTATCAGAATAATGAAATGGATCTATTACCCTTACTAATATATATATATATATATATATATAATTATTTCTTTAAATGAAGTGGACGTCATACCTAAGGCACCTTTCGACCAACGCTTTGTCAAAGATATTCGTTGGCAATATTAGATATAAATGAATACAAAGACAACTTAATGAATTGAATGAGGGGGGATGTAAATAAATAGTTCCACAAGAGTATATAAAATAGAAAAAAGGGGAACTCACAGTAAAAAGTGTTCCTTCTGTCTGCACAGACTGGGTTGCTGACACTTAATATAAATGGCTTCGGAAACTCGAAGATGGTGTATTGATCGAGCGCTCTGTAAAACTGAAAACCATGTGTCTTCGTACTCAGCGGCACAAGCATGATTGCCCAGCAAATGTTGGCCAATTGCATATAATTATTTGGACAATTCCTACACTCACTAAGTCTAAAAAAAACCCCAAAAAACTCTTGCTTGCATATAAGAAAAATACAGTTAAAAAAATTCTAAATGAATTAACTGCCTAAGCATTCACATACGCGTGTATGTGTGTATATATATATATATATATATATATATATATATATATAAAATGTTTTTTACAGTGAGTACTGTTTTTTCTTATACTATAGAGTATTTATATGTATTTGTATAAGATTGCTCACCCCATATACCTACGTATATTTACCCATTCAGTCATCTATAATATATATAAAAAAAGGCTTAAACACTAATATTCCATTGTGATAATTTATTCCATTCATCAGGCCTACAAATTCAAAAAGAAAACAGAAAAAAACATTTTGTCCAGAAATAAAATATATTTTATATATGTATATTTATATATATATATATATATATATATATATATATATATATATATATATACACACACAATTAAATTTTTATGTACAGGTGTACTTAAATTATGTGTAAGTGAACATATATACATGTTTATGATATAATGTAGGCTCTTTTCTTCTCTATAGATTCTTGAAAGACACTGAAATCTGTAAATAATAAGGAACCCTATATACTAGTTATGTCCCTAAATTTATATTATGCACTGTAATTCCATTTGATTATATAGGGGGTGGGGAACAATTTCCCTCACTAAGAAATTTATTTGACTAAGCCAACTTTATAAAAGGAAGACAAAAACTGTTAAATCGTGAATAAACAAAAAGTTTTCTTTTGAACTTTCTCCGACACCCTTTGGATATGATGACTTTTTTTTGAGGAAATGGACTCAAAATTGTTTATTTTTTATCTATTTAAAATATTTCATTATACTATGAATGATTTATAGAATATATTTCTTTGTTACTCCTTTGAAATATAATCTGAAAAGGAATTGTTTAGTTTAATTAAATTTTTAAACATGAGTGTTGTGGGTTTAACTATGCCAACAATTCACGCTGAACTCCCTAAAAAGGCAATCATATTTTCTGTGTCTCTTTCCCTTTTTTAACTCTTACTTCCGGATGTAGTCAAACATAGACAAATAACACTGCCAATAGGGCACATTCTCTTCCTTGGTCCTCTGTTATCTTTTGAACTCCCTCACATGCATGCATACCTATCACACACATATATATATATACACACACACACACACACATTCTCATAGCTAGTTTCAATGTCTTTTACTTTCATTTCAATTGTGTACACCTGTAATTCCTTTTGTTAATAACATGTATTATCATTGGTTTTAAATTCATTGTTTTGTGTTTCTTATCTTTACCCGGACTCGCATGAGTCCACCAATATTGTTTGATAGACAAATGTTCTAGGAGCCAATAAATATTTACTATACAACATAGACACACTCATATGAAAACAACACAAACTTATTTTTATCCAAACATTATAGTAACCTGCAACAAATTGAGAGTTTGTTGGTGTGTCTTCCCTGTATAAATATATCTGTATGTTCATATTTTTCAGGTTCAGTGTGTAAACTTTATTTTGATCTTGAATTCTACCGTGAATTTAATCCAAAACTTGAAGATGGATACGATTTATGCAGAATTTTTATTAAGGTAAAATACTTTGGCTTTCTTGATTTGGTTCTTTTAAATTAATGACCTTGTGACCCAAATTGTAGCAACCTCTCCTCAGACAAATAGAAATTAGACAGCTGATGATGATGTAAATAAACATTGAAATATTAACATTCAGTTACAGTTCTTGTTTGATAATCAAAAATTAATTCTGTAAAAATACCTTTTGTCCGAATTAATTTCTGTTAGAAAAACTGTTCACTTTTTGAACAGGCCGTGAAAAGTATTGCAAGTATGCAAGTCATATTGTCTGAATTTCTTTTAAAATTTCTTAAAATTTCCAAGTAACATTTGGGCAAAATGTTTTATTCACATTTTGTACCTGTTCTTCATGGGTTTCAAAGACATGTTAAGTGTATAATAGGTGGGTTATAGAAATACTTTTAGTTTTGTTGAATAATTTAACTTTGAGTTTGATGTCTTGATAAGCTGACAAAATTCTTTTTTTCTTTTTTTTTTTTTTTTTTAGTTCTGGAAATTAGTCTATAGGATTTGTCCTGCATTTGAAAAACCAATGCTTGTAATTTTAAACTGACTTTCTTCTTATTGATAGCCCAAGTTTCAAAGAAAGAAAAAATAATAATAATAATTAGGTGGGTCTGTGAGTGAAATTAAAAATTTAGTAGTGCTAGTCTGTTCTGAAATTTTAATGTCTGGTAACTTTACTTCATTAAGTTGTTTTTCATATTTTTTTTATTTCTTGTTAAGTTAAGGTTGAGTGATAGAACTTTAGGATTGTTTACATGTACTTTTGTCTTAATATCTTTGACAAAAGCCAGGAATCTCACTCTCCCTGTAATCTCTTTGTACTCATACTGTTTTTTTTTTTTTTTTTTTTTTTTTTTTAGACAATCTTTAAAATTAAATGCTCAGAAATTGGTAAAAATTATGAATCTAATTTTTTGTGTCAGTATTTATCATATCAAATCCCAACTTTTGCACTAAATTCAATGTTGATTTTCTAAAAAAAAAAAAAAAAAGAAAAATTAATTTGCACCCACTCATAGAGGGTTACTGAAGGAGGCTGTTCTATAACAACCTCTTTCAGTAACCCTCTGCTTTGAGTTGTTCTTGGGTTTTGTATAGGGTGAACATTTATTTAAAAACAAAAAAAAACAAAAAACATTCTCTACTCTTCCAGTATCCTTTTCCATTTTACAACTGAAGCAGCCCAAAGAATGAATCTGCCAACACATTGTAGCAACAAAAAGAATGAGATCAATCCTGTCTAACCGTGAAATGAAGATTGTCCTGAACGAGTTCTCTTCCAGTATCTTCCATACGAACACTGGTGTTCCTCAAGGCTCTATCCTTGATCCTACACTGTTTCTGATCTTCTTCAATGATCTTCCTGACGTCATCAGTTCTCAAGTAGGCATCTAGACAGACGACAATACCATTTACTCCTGTCTCAATAGTAAATCTGGAATTGCTGACAAAGTTAACCTGACCGTTGGTCTTGAAAATGACCTCCAATCTGCGGTTGACTGGTTTCAGGAAATAGCTTGTGAATTTTAATTCATCCTAAACGAAACTGCTGTCATTTACACACTATAGAGAAACTTCCCTATCAGCATGGTTGATGCTCATCTCAACGAGAGCACCTCGCTACACCTTTTTGGCCCTACATTTTCCACTGACCTGAGGTGGAACAACTACATTGAATCAATAGCTGCATCTACCCCAAGGAAAATTGGTTCTCTGTGTTGAGCCAGAAGGTTTTTCTTATCCGAGTCCATCCTTCAAATCTACCATATGTCCATGCACAGAATACTGCTGCCATATATGGGCTAGTGTCCCCACTGTTCATCTCAAGGTTCTCAACAAAATCCAAAGACAGATATGCAATATGAGAGGTCCTGACTCAGGGTGTCAGCTACAGCCACTTTCTCAATGACATAAAGTGGCTTCCCTCTGTCTTTTTAATAAATATTTTCATGGCATCTGCTCTGACGAGCTATTTTCAGTGGTGCCTCGACTGCATGAATTTAAGCATGCTACTAGGTTGGCATCTCGGTCCCACCCGCTTACTGTCAAAACAGTTAAATGTAGCCACTTCTTCTACTCCAGCAGTTTCTTTTCTTGCACTTCCCAACAGTGGAACTCCCTTCCTCTTACTTGCTTCCCTGATAACTATAATCTTCAAAAATTTCAATGTAATGTCAATCGACATATTCTTTTGCCTTGATTCCTGTTTTTCTTTTTATCCTTTCCTCAATCCCTCTTATACCCAGTCTTTTCCCTTACTTACACTTAATGTCACCCCCTTGCGTACTAGTGCCACTCCAGCCTTGCTTAGGGTGAAATGCTTTTTAAAAAAAAAAAATTTTCAACTCTTTTTCAAATGATAATCATTCTTCCCAACATAGAAAGCCACCCACAAAATGGATTGGCTTTTGATAAAAAATTTTTAAAGAAGCAGCAAAAAGGAGATTGATAATCTGAAGAACTTTTTAAGTCTTTGACTTACTTTTTTGTGATTCCACAGATTGCAGCACAATCTTTTAGGCTGGCACCCATTATTTCAGGCCACAATTTATGAACATGAATGGCAAAAAAATCTGCTTTATCATTGTAGTACGTGTGTGCCTGGTTGAAGGAAATTTTTTCCCTTGATTGCAATGAGCATGATGTCCTTATCTTAGATTCCAGGTAAGACTCATTTCCATATTAGAAAATTTGAATGGAGTTGTACAGTAGGCACTGCAACTAGAAATAAACACCCTTTTTTTCTTTTTTTTTTTTTTTTTTTTCTTTTCTTTTTTTTTTCTTTTTCAAAATTTTTTAATGTTAATCACACTAGATCACAAATATCAAAATTTTCTTGTTATTTTATGAAAGTTATACATAGTTTGCTATGTAAATTAATTGTCCTACAGAAGATAAAACAAAATATGCTCATATGAAATTATTTCTTAAGATGCAAAAAAAAAAAATCATGAAATTTGTAAGCCAAGTTTTTATCTTTTTCATATATTACTAATGATTAAGAACTTGATCTCATGAATATCAAAAAAGATTTTTTATTTTTTTTTTATTTGTTGGGTCTAGACTGCTGTGTAAATTCATTGTCCTACAAAAGCCTAAACTAAATATGCTCATATCATGTTACTTGTTAAGATGTAAAAAAAAAAAAAATTTAACTTTTAAAATTTGTAACCTAGTTTTTAATTTCTTTATTTTTCATATATTATTTCTTTATTTTTTTCGATATATTATATCTTTTTATTTTTTTCCATCTTTTTATTTTTTTTCCATCTTTTTATTTTTTTCCATATATTATATCTTTTTAATTTTTTTTCCATATACATTTTTATTTTTTTTTTCCATATATTACTATCAATGAAGTACTCCAGATTAGGAATTTTGTAATAAATATAAACACATAGGACAATAGAAAAAAATTGAAATGGGCAGTGATCATACAGATATTACACTTTGATCTTTGATAAAAAAAAGAAAGAAGCCTAATGTCCATAGAAATTAATACTATAAATTTGGCATGTGTTAAATTTTGAAAGAAAATAGTTGATATTTTTGGTGGTAATATAACATTTACTAAATTTCTGACAAGGTCAGATGAATGCATTTGAGGGAGAAGACTATTGATAATTGAACTTTGACCTCTGACCATTGCTTGGACATAGGCCACTATTTTAGTCCCGAGTGCAGCAAATGAATAGATATTTTTTATGAAACAGTTTAAAAATGGGTCAACTTGTGTCTTTCCAGTACGGCGACCAAGTACAGTGAACACTTAATATTTCTACTTCCAAATGCAGCTTTTAAAGACAACTATCAAGTGGGTAAGTCTAGCAGTTGTTAGTTTTTGGAAATTTTAATTATTTGTTGCAAATCTAGAATTAAATATCTGAAATGGTCTTCCATACTTGCAAACCTGAATCAGCTGCATGCTTTTCTGAAACCAAAATGTCAATCAGGTCAGCTTGAATGACATGTTAATGATGTCTTGTCTGGTACAAGGCAACAGGTATCAGGCGCTAGTAATCAAGGCACCCACTTTTCATTGTAGTAAATTGATATAATTACTCTGTTGTATTATCAGTGGTTAATTCTTTATGCTTAATTTCTAAATCGTACTTTATCAGTCTGGCAGCAAGGCAAGGAGGTTTTGACGAACATAGAACCACTTCTAATTATTGTTGTTTCCAGGTCCATTCTGACCTGGGGTGGTAGCACCTGTTAGGGTCTCAGGTATGGGCAAATAGTTAACCCCAAAACTGGAGTCAAAACACTATGAAATTGTAAAAATAGATTTTTATAGTAAAAATACTAGTAATACATTTTTGAAAAATAAATTATTACCAGCACGACATTTTTGAAAAAAAAAAAAAAAAAAAAAAAAATCAGTAATCCATATTTGAAAAAAAGAAATTACCACCAATACATTTGAGGAAAAAAAAAAAATTTTACCAGCAATAAAAATCTTGTCAGCATTGAGGTTGATATCATGTAAAATAAAATGAACTGCACTAAACCTTACATTATCAGGGTTTTCTCGTATACATATTAATCTATTATGGGTGGGATGACAAAGTGAAAAGTGGGATCAATCTATTATAGATGTATGACAAAGTGAAAAAAGTTTTCATGTCACAAATTTTGTCCTTTAGGACATCATTGGACTAAATTTGTTTACATTGGTGCAACTACACATGTATGAATGAGGAATACTGGAAATTTTTTTTTAAATTTTATTTTTCTTATTTAAAAATTTTTTTTTTTCTTAAATTTGAATGCATTAGTTGCTCACAAGAACAGAGAACTTGAACAAGACTGAACACAATGTCGACATAAAAAAATGCTAATCTAACCAAAGGAGAAAACAATTTATTATGACAAATGTCTAGAAAGTGCCTTGATCGTAAGGTCATCCACAGTAAATTTGTGCCCTGACTCTTACAACATTAATGAATTTTTACAAGAATTGTTTTCATTTTTTTAAAATTTTAATTAGAATAATTTATAAAATTAATTTTTTTTTTTTTTTTCCGTATTTGTACTGGTTAATCGATATTGTTATTAAGTAAAAACTATATTTACTCATCATAAATGGAAAAGCTTACTACAATTCAGTGGCCACATGTATTTTAAAAAGAATTTTGAAATTGTTCTGTGTGTGTATAAACATGTCAATTTTTAAAGTCAACATAACTAAAATTCAATAAAACATTAGATTATGGAGAATATTTTCCTAAATTTTTGAAGATTACTGGGTAGTTAAAAAAAATTACAAAAAATGTTATTTTCAAGTAATTTTTACAGATATGTCCTCTGCAGAAAAAATTCACAAACATAAGTTTGAGATACTTGCCAACACCTCATAAAAACCTCCGCCTACATGTTAAAAAATGATTTTCTGCTATATTTTAAACTAAATGTAATATTTGTTTCCTGTTAGATTAAAGTTTAAATCAGCTAATATTCCTCAAATAAAGTTTGAAAAAAGTATATTTTATTTTTTAATTATTTTTAATAAAGAGAATGACTTTTGTGCTGAAAGAACTGTAAATATAGTTAAAATAAAACTTTTTTTTTTTTTTTACAAATTCATTCTGATAAATTTAAATTTGTTTTGAAATACAGCAAAATATTTTGCTTATATTAAATTTAATCTATTAGCTTGAAATTCAAAACTAAAATAAAAGCTTAGAGAAAGATTATTCATTTTTTAAAGATTCATTTTAAACCATAGATATTGTTTTTCTTTGGATGTATAGGTGTATGATGTGTATGTAACAATTCAGATATAAATAAAATGTATCTGTAAAAAGACAAGGAATACTTCTTGACAAACCTTGATAAAGTCCATCAGAGGACAAAAGCATATCAAAGTTTTTGTGTTTGTATATATATATATATATATATAATATACACACATACACTTGAAGTCAGTGAAGGGTAAGTTTTGGCACATATTGGCTATGAATAAGGTGTGTGTGTGGGGGGGGGCTACTGTAACTATGTTATGTCCAAAAATGCACAACCTGTATGCTGCCTCTTTTAATTAGAGGAACATAGAATGGTATTGTTTTTTTCTTCTTTTTTTTTTTTTATTATGTTTTGATCCCAACTGAGAAATAATTATAGCAAGTTCAGTTTATGGAGTTTTTTTTTTTTTTTTTTTTTTTTAAATGACAAATTCAAAGAAATATTTTTAAAAGGGGGGGGAAAAAAAAAATAGACAATGTAAGAAACCCTTGTCAATTATTAATTCTGACATTTGCATGTTCAACTCACAGAATTGAGTTGCTCAATTGATGATCAAAACTGCCCAAATTCTTACATGCTCTCCCCACAAGCCCCAGTTAAATTTTTCTATGTTTCTCCAGCCTTACTTCTTAAGGTTCATTTAACAAAGAGTCATTAATATTAATTACAAATGATTAATGCAGTGTTTATTAATGATATTTTGTAGGTTCTTTTGTACAGTTCATCTCCACTTGTTTGGTGACATGGCTGAAAGAAACCACAGTTGATGAGGAAGATAAAAATCATGTGACATTTAACACTGAGGGGACAAAGACGGTTGGGGAAGGTGATATTGGGAGTTACAGTCAAAGAAAAACTGATACCAAAGTTTTGCTTGAATCCAGTAAAGAATTTGCAAATAGAACTCCACAGAAATATCAGGCTGAGAAAATATTTTCGTTGTTCTCCAAAGAAATGCTTCGGAAACTGATTGTCAGAGATAAAAATGATGATGAGATACTTCTTTGTGATTTGGGTAAGATGATGACTACACAATTATTTTGAGATGATGATTGGGTTGAAAACAATGAGTTGTGTTACTTTCTTGGGCTTTCTGGAAAGAGGGAGTTAGTAGACGCCAAACATTTTTGTTTTGGCTTTTGTCTATGTATTTCTTAATTCCTTTATTCTATATGTCTATTAAATGATAGATTAATTTATTTTTATGGCTCATTGAACCTTTGCAGGTTAAATACAGAAAATATTTTTAGATTGTAAGAATTTTTTGAAGATAATGATTTGGTTATACAAGACTGACTAATTAACCCATAGCTGGGTGGAGAAGAGGCAGACTCATACCTTTCCAAAGGGTATTTGCATGAATCTGACTCAAAATTGAAACTCAATTCTCCATTTTACAATTCCAAGCCGTTATCCATTACACCATCTACACATCCAAGCTTACAGCACCTGGTATTTGCAAATGAACTAAGTGATTTTCTAAGCACAGCTTAGATGTGGCATAAGGCCGAAAGTATGGGGCACCCAGTGAGGATCGAACTCACTACTTGTACTAAGTACTGACCAGGCTCAATATTGCTTAACTGGTGATTGTATGAGAACTGGTGTGTTTCAATGTAAAGTGGCTGTAATCTCTTTACACCACTCACACACCCAAGATTCCCAAGTAGTCACCCATCTAGGTACTGACCAGGCTGAACATTGCTTAGCTTTCATGATTGTACAGGAAGCTGTGTTTCAACGTGATATGGTAGGAGGCTATATTTGTATTGCAGATGTCTTAATCACAAGTTTGTAATTTCAAGACCAAATCAAGAAATATTGAAAGATTGGTTTGAAAAATTTAACCAGAATAAACTTTTATGCCGGATGTCTGTCAGCCAAAAAGTATTCCTCGGTATGACGATAAACTACATTCGGCAACAAGGCCTTTGATCAGGAGATTGGTGATTTTGAGGTGTGTAGAACCACCTCTTAATTGCTGTTGTTTCTAGGTCCACCCTAACCTCGCTGCTCTACTGCTACTTCCACGGAAATTTGGACGAACTACATTCCCTGGTCCTGCCAATTCAATCCTTCACAGCAAGAACATGCGATGCCACTTATACTACCCAAACTCCCTCTGTATTCTCTCAGTGAGAAGTAAGTTTCACTTGAGCAGCTTCTTCCCTGTGGAACCGACTCCCAACAGGATGTTCCCCCGATAACTACAATCTTAACCTATTCAAGGCTAGGGTTAATTGTTATCTCCCTCACGTATACACAGAAATAGCCTCCTAAAGTAACCATCTACATCGAGTGGCCCTAGGCCTTGTAATGGGTGAGCCCCACTGTAAAAATAAATAAAAAAAGAAAATGTGTATAAGTTCCCTTTTGTGTTTATAGATACGTTTTATTTTTAAAAAAAAAAAAATTCTGCAAGTTTCTCTAATCCATTGTGAGAAGCTGTTTGGCAACTTTTTAAAAACATATACCCTATCTATCTATCTCGTCCTGAGTATGTCGATAAACTACATCCAACAGCAAGGCATCTAATCAGGAGCGTTTGAACCACATCTATTTGCTTGTGTTCCCATGTCCATCCTGACTCAGAGTGGTAGCACCTGTTAGGGTCCCTGCTGTGGGAAAATAGTGCAATCCACCAACAAAAAAAACAAAAAACAAAACACTATGAAAGTATAAAAACATTTTTATAGCTTACAGGAATCACTTCTTCTGGCTGTAACAGAGTGACACATCTGATTGCAACTGACGTCTTTTTGTCTCTGCTCGTAACGAGTTCAAAAATGTCCTCAATGAAGCAAAGTTACTGTTTACTGAAAGAATGAAATGACACATAGCATTTCACAAGTTTGGTTCTAGAGATTATTGGTTGCTCTGCAAACGTGTACTGAACAACAGCAAATCCTCAGTCCCTCCTCTATTCAATCAATTTCAAAGTCCTGACATCCACAACAGTTGAATGCTTTGCTCAGAAATTCTCTTTCAACTCAGCACTCAACTCATTTGGGGTACCAACAACTGATTTCCTCCCCTAAAACTGAGGCTCTATTGAGTGATATGCACATAGCCCCATCACTGGTTTCGGACATAGACTCCCAAAAGACTAGTTAAGGTGATGGGATACCAGCCGTTGTCCAAAAGAAATGTGCTCCCAAGCTGGCTCCTGTTCTATCTAAACTATACAACTATTACTTCACTGCCTCCTGCTTTTCAGCTTTTTGGATGTCCTCTTCTATAGTTCCTGTTTTTAAGAACTCTGGAGAACCTTCTTACCCGTCTATTATAGTATTAGTCTCCTATTACTTTTCGGCAAAGTATTCGAGGCTTGAATGAATGTGGAAGTGATTAAGCATCTTACCTCTCACGACTTACTCTCTGTCCGCTGATGTGTTAATAGCCATCACTGAATATGTATATCAAGCTCTTGATAATAATGATGAAGTTCAAGCTATGGCTCTAGATAAGCAAAAGGTGTTTGACAGGGTTTGGCATGCTGGTATTCTACGTAAGTTTCAGGGTTACGGTATTACAAGACAATTGTTTGATTTAATCCAATCATTTCTATCAAATTGTGAAATGAAAGTCATTCTGAACAGGCTCACTTCCAGATTCCCTAAGACTCTCTCCTGGGTCTTACACTGTTTCTGGTCTTCATCAATGAGAAACTTCCCTGCCTGCCATCAGCATAGCTGATGCTAGACTCTTGGAGAGTGTCTCACTGTGCCTTTTTGGCCTCATGTTTTCAACTGACTTGAAGTTGAACAACTACATTGAATCAATAGCTGCATCTACTGCAAGGAAAGTTGGTTCATTGTGTTGTGCCAGAAGGTTTTTCTCATCAGAGTCCGTCCTGCACATTTACAAATCTACCATTCATCCGTGCATTGAATTCTGTTGCTATATCTGATCTGGTGCTCCTGCTTATTCATGTCGAGGTTCTTGACAAAATCCAAAGAAGGATCTGCAATGTAATTGATCCTGACCTGGCATCTCAACTTCAGTCACTTTCTCACTGACATGATGTGACTTCCCGCTGTCTTTTCTACAAATATTTTCATGACTCTGACAAGCCAGCCCCCCCCCCGATTTGATATCTAGGTCCCGTCCTTTTATTGTTGAACTAGTTAAATTCTAACAGTTTCTTTTCTTACACTTCCCAACAATGAAACTACCTTCTGTTTACTTGCTTCCATGAAAACTACAACCTTCAAAAATTTAAGTGCAACGTCAATTGCCTTTTTTTGTCATCTTTAACCATGTTCATCTTTTTATCCTTTTGTTAATCTCCCTATATAACCAGTTTTTTTTTCTCTCTTTTTCACTCTAACTCCCTGCACACTAGTGACATTCCTGTATTCCAAAATATAACTTCCACAAAATCACAACTTAAAACACACATCAAATTAATTATAATTATCTCCACACAAACCTTGATTTGCACAAAAGCTGAGTGTCATTTACCATGTATTCAGTTGTGAAAGCAGAATAACACATCATATTTTTATTACTTTTGAGCTCCCAAGAAAAATTGAATTTCAGCATTAATTTCCCATGAGTTGATATGCTGGTAAACAGCAAGGAAAACCATTAGATTTTAGGCATAAAAAAAGTCTTTTGGTTCAATCACTGAGAAAGAAAAATTCTTTTGAATGTTAATATAACCACAAAAAGTTTGTAAAAATTGTGTTTTTTCTCTTAACACTGATGTTACACTGTATACTCTCTCAGCAATTTTTATTGTTTAAAAAAAAAAAAAGAAGCTATTTTTAGAATAAAACCCACATACAAAACTGGATTTGTATATTTCTTTTCCCCTGTAGAATTCTAGAACTGACAACAAAGATGTTAAATACTCTATTAGATTGTTTATATCTTTCTATATATATATATATATATATATATACACACACATACATACATACATACCCACTTCTGTCTGTTTATTATTAGACTACTCTTAGGGTTTTGGAGATAGACTCACATAAACATATATATTCTGAAACTACATTACCCTGGGTACTTAGATAAGTATATATCATTTTGATCCAAGGGGATACCTAGGGAGCACCCCAGTCACTGAATTTTTTTTTTCTTTTGATTTAAATTAAATTTAAATTTGAACAAGGGAATAAATCCTATCCAAAAATATAGAAGGAAAAAGCCAGAAGATGGAAGTCACATCAGCAAGATCATTGAGTAATATTGAAATGCATCATTTTTCTCTACAAATTATGACAATGATTTAAAAGCAATCAGCATTTTCTTACAAAAAATGTGTGAAATGCAGCAATATGCGGGTAATTTGGTTAGTTATATTTACAGGGTTATAAATATGTGAACCCCATTTTCTTCTCAGAAGGGGTCGGTGTCATTATTGATGCTCAATTGTAAATTAAATGATGCTCAAAATAAACTCTCTTCTGACTGAATTGACTTCTTAATTCTAAATGTATGTCAGTAAAAGTTTTTTTTTTTTTTTTTAATTTTCATTTATGTGAATGCATTGATTGAATTTAATTAATTTATTTATTTTTGTACTGCAGGCGTTTATACAAAAAACCGAAATTTCCGCTTGTTTCTGTCGCGAAAGTTAGGCCAAAAGAATCCGTTTCTGGTGTCACATCACAACAAATTTAGTCCTTCTTCCAAAGAAGACCAAACAATGTTTTTGGAATCTCTGATTGCTAATGTTGAGTAAGTCTTTCTTAATATTTGCCTGCGTTGATACCATCAATACTTGCAAGGAGATTTCTCAATGGGATCGCTTGACCTTTTACAGAGTTCCAGTTTATATAGACCTCTCCCCACAAGAATTGACATTGTTATATCTACTCTGATCATCTTATGAGATCTTGTTAAAAACCATGTGGTATTCTCTTTGTTTAGACAAGTGGTTCCTTTTTTATTTTATTTTTTATTTTTCTCTGGGCCACACTTTCGGAATTAAAATTTTCTTGTGCCTCACCAAATTTTATCTGATAAAAGTACATTTAAAAATCAAAATCAAAGAAAGGCTTAAAGGGAGATAACCGCGAATTCAAATTCAGAACATTATCATTAATAACTCTCTCCACTAATTTGCGGATCCTACTTACTATCTTCTTAATACTTGATATAATGCAAAAATAGCACAATGATAAAAATCACTCAATAATTGTTTATAACAATTTATAGTAGGACTCAATTCATGCAATTACAAGTAATCTATAATAATATTAAATTTTGAAATCATTTATTTTTTGGCATATGAATTTTTTAAAACTTTCTAAATCTTTGTCTTTCAATCATTCTGCCTCACCTAATTTCCTTTTCTGCAGAACATATTAGGCATACTGCACTGTTTGGGAACCACAGGATTAGATTCTTCCTAGATATCTTTCTTTCTGTAAAAATAATGGTGTTTTGGAGCAGAAAAAATTGTTACAAACAAATCCTAATGTTTTTTTTGTTTAACAGAATTAGAATTATTCTTTTCTTTAAGACCAAATACGTTTTGGACAGATGGCAATATAAACAAACCTTCAAATTTAATATATATATGCATATACGCGGATTAATATAAGAATCTGTATCAGAAACAGATACTTAATTTCTTATGAAAATGCTGGAAAAAAGGCCCTAGCTAAAGAACCCCTTGTCTAATTTTAATGAAATTTGGCATTGCACTCGGCAAGGGCTCAAAGTACAGTATACTCTTAAATTGGCTGTGGCATTATGTATCATTTAATCTGTATCTTGGGAACAAACATACTTAGGTACAAGATTAGAGTTTTAGTATTATATAGATGTGTCAATCAATTTTTGTTTAGAACTAGAAAAAATGCAAAATTTTCACTATTTTTTCACATTTTACTCCCTGAAAAAAAATTTTGAGTCATTTACACCAGCCTATTTTACTTTTAAATGAAAGAATATATCCTTTGCTTTTAGAAAATACCTAGTTTCATGGGGTTCAGATCAAGTTTCCTTGATATTTGTTTAGGTGATGATAAAACGGTCATTTTTAAATATTTTACCCCCTATAAAAGTATGAAAATCCATTTTGTGAGAGAAAATAAGCTGTGGCAAAATGACTTTTGCCATTTTTGTGATGATTTTTACTTGAGGTAGAAAATCTTTACCATAACAAACCTAAAATGACTTTATTTAAGTTCAGTGGGGCTACAGGAAACCTCAAACAGCTGTCTCCATCCCCTGAACTCTCTTACCATACCATGCTGTGGTTGCAAATGTTTCTTATCCAAAATAGTACTCATTTCACACAATAGGAAACATAGATGTGCACCCATCACTTGGCAAAAAAGTTCTGCCAACAACAAATATAAAATGCTAATTTTATAACCTGATTATGTACAATAATGAATCACGTGCAATATAGGTAAAAAATGTTTCTTGCTTCACTTGTTGAGCCTTATTTCAACAAATAGATTTACAAAGTAAAAATAATGCTTGGAACTTTATTTTCACAGGACCAGTCTTCTTCTTTCCAAGGTATCTCTAGGCCATTACTAAGGGAGGCAACTCTCTCAATATATTCACAAATTGACTAAATATTGAGAGAAGTTATTTGTCCCTGATCTCTTTGTGCTACTCCCGTTTTAGATTCAGGCTTTTTTGCCAAAGTGAATGCCAATAAACTCAAATGAATTTGATTTGATGTGTACTGTCATGGCTAAAATCATATTTAACCTCAGCTATAGATCAAAAATTAGTAATCAAAAAGATCATGTCTAACATGAACTGGATGCCACTGATCGCAGTTAAAACAATCAAGAAGAGAAAGAAAAACAACGGATTATTTTTATTTAAGGAACTGGTGAAGGGATTTCTCACATTTTGATGACTGTTATTTTCAGAATGTATCAGACCCTAAGAGTTTTCACAGACAATCTTCAATTTTATGCAGGAGACACAAGCACCTGTGGAATAGCAAAAAAGCCTTATTTGTACAGGAATAAGATATAGAAATAAATTATAGAATGCTTTGAGCCCCACCCCACCCCACACACACACACACATAACTTCAAGCAGAATTCCAATGTTGGCCACAAAGACATTCCATGACTAAAGACCCATGTTGATTTTGTTTGATTTGAGAGAAATTCTTTTTTATGTTTGAAATAGTTTTATTTGCTGAAAACCAACATACACCACGTGATCAGTCATGAGTCCCATAATCCATTATAGATACAGGTGCACTACATGTACTGCAGCTATAGCTAACAGTGGGTGTATCTAGGGCAAGACTGATCAAACTTATCACTCTTCATATTGGTTTAGAATTGTTTTTCTTCTAGACTGGGACTAGAGAACCTAGATTTCCCTGCTATTAACACATAGGTGAAGGAAGGAAGGGAGAAATGGAATCATGTCTTTCACAAGGCCATTTATGCAAAAATGAATCCAATTCATTAGCCTGAAATTTTAATAAATGTATGTAACTATGCATACAATCTTTTTTTTCTTTGTTCAACATGTTTTGCACTGCTGTTGGTTTTATATAATTGTATCCATTTTTTATATCAAGAAAATTTTTGAATGTTTCAAGAGGAACAATAATGAATGTATGCCGATCCTGCTATGCCAATTCCAGTCAAGCAGAAAGATTGGTTATTTTGAGAGAGGCTTTTTAAGTTATAAGAAAATAGTACGTTTCCTGTTCTCGGACAGAACAACTCCAAATCCCAATATGCCTGAAGGAAAACATCAGTCGAATGAATTTTCCAAAGATCCATTCAAACAATTTGCAATCAACTGTGACCTTAAACAGACTTGAAATTTTTAATAATCCTAAAGTTCTGATAAAGATTTTTTTTAAGAGACAACAAACTTAGAAAAATAAAATCGTTCACTGAAAACATTGAGCCCTCTTTGCAAAGTTCAGTTTCTGATCATTTATTCACTAAAGGTGCATCAATCAAATATCTAATGTTGGCTGAGAAACAAACTATTCAAACTAAATGTCAACTACTATTTGAAATTTTCATGTGACACTTTTGAAATTGCAGTATCTTCTCTACAAAACAAAATCCTTTGATATTAAAAAAAAAAAGAGCAAAACAAAGACCAAATATACTTTAGATGAATCCAAAATTTAATTGATTAAAAGTGATACTACATATATATTACTTCATTTTCATGTGACACTAAAACACATAACAATAACATTGTAATCCCTACCCTTTCTTCACGCATTTCACTCTTTGTTTTCCCACCTATGCATCTCCATTTCTTCCTCAGTTGCTGGCTTTGTTGAGTAATACTGACTTTATGTGTCATCTTCATAGGAATGTTGGGAATTAAACAAAATCTTTTTTGTTTAAAAAAATTTGGATTATTCTTTTCTTTAAGACCACACATGTTTTGGACAAATAGCATAATGTAAACAAACCTTCAAATTTAATTTCTCATGACCAAAGAAATTCTGACAACACATTAATCAAGTTTTCTTCTTGTTCACAGGAAATGGATAAGTTGAAGAACATTGGTTTTCTCAATTTTATTGAATTTTAGTGAGTTAATTCTAGGTCTGATTCTCCTTGGAACTTCTTAAATTCATTTTATTATTTTAAAACCTAATTTTTAATTGGTATCTTCTTTTTTCGACCTAATCTCTTGAGAATTTTAATAATTATTATCCATTTAGTAGTCCCTCTAAATCACCATCCTGTAATTTCATGCAATTAAACATTTAAGGATGGTCAGTGCCCTGTTACAGCGTGTGTGTGTGTGTGTGTTTGTCTACATTTATGTATGCTTTCTTGCTGACACAGTCATAGCATGTGATAACATTAGCAGACTTTCTTGAGATTCCGTGAAAGATCAAAGAAAATTTTTTAATGTTTTTAATTTCTTACTTTCAATCTCCAACTATTGAAACCAGGTAATCCTTCTGATCAAAATTTCATCTCTCTCCCTTGCATCTTCTTGGAATTCAATCAGCTGAAACAAATTTGGGAAGGATTGGTGCTAATTATTCCCCATGATTTGAAAACTGTGATTTTTTTTTTTTTTTTTTTTTTTTTTGTTTTTTTTTTTTTTTTTTGTTTCTTTTTTTTTGTTTCTCTGTTTCCTCTCTCATGAATAATGGGATGGATTTTCTAAAATATTCTCTGTATAAATAAGTCCATTTGTAAACAGTCATTTCAAATTTCTTAATTCATTCAATTGAAAGAATTCTAAAAATGAAAAATTTTTTTTTTTCCTTTTTTCAATTAAAGAAATGGAGAAGATTTGAAAATCCTCATCTTTGAACAAAAAAATCAAATGAGGTTACGCATGAGAAATTTGCAAATAAAAAGTCCAGATTTTTCAGGTAACTTTCTTACTTTTTTTTGTTTATGAAACACACACACACAAGGGTGCTAAAAAGTTCCCAGCCTGGTCAAGAAACTCTTCCTAGCTATTTTTGGATGTTTGGTCATTTGAGATTTTTAGAAGTTGGTTGGCCTCAGAACTTATCATTTGTTTGAACAATGTTTTTTGAGGGGTTAGAGCTTCGGCTATGTATTTAAAAATTCTTGATAAAATCCAAAGTATCTGCAATGTTATTGGTTCTGACCTGACATCTCGGCTTCAGTCATTTTCACATCACCATAAGTAGCTTCGCTGTGACTTTTCTATAAATAATTTTCTGAACTTTGCTCTATGGCATCTAGACATGAATTTAAGTGCAGTACTAGATTGCCGGCAAGGTTTCATCATTTTACAAACAAAATGGCTACGTGTAACTAAGTTTTATGCTAACAATTTCTTCTATTGCACTTCTTACTTGTGGGATTCTTTTCTGGCTTCTACCTTCCCTTAACTTTAATCTCCAAAAATTTAAATGCAATGTCAATTGCTATCTTCTAGTTTCTTAAGTCCTATTCTTTTATTGTTTTCTCTCCTGAGTAGTGTTTTTTTTTGGGGGGGGGTCCATCTTAGTTGCTTTATTGCCTTGATTGGAAAGCAAACATTTAAAAGAAAAATGTAACTTTTTATATTGTAAAATGCCTACAAAACAATGATAACAATTGGTTACAAGTAATCTTACCTGTGTGTGTTAGACAGTTTAGGTTGATGCTATGTATTCCAGAACATGTTTGAAGAAAATGAAAAATGCCTTTGTTAAATAAAGGTTCCCAGAAAATGATGAAATATTCTAAGAAAATTATTCTGGAAAGATCCCAGAGCGGAAAAACCAAAAGAAATAAACTGTTGTTATTTTCGTGTTTTAATTTAGATGAGTCACTAATTTAGATGAGTCACTAATTTAGATGAGTCACTAATTTAGATGAGTCACTAATTTAGATGAGTCACTAATTTAGATGAGTCACTAATTTAGATGAGTCACTAATTTAGATGAGTCACTAATTTAGATGAGTCACTAATTTAGATGAGTCACTAATTTAGATGAGTCACTAATTTAGATGAGTCACTAATTTTAAAGTGTTGCTTCCTTGTTAACTGCAATCTTCAAAAATTTAAATGCAGCGTCAACCGCGATATTCTGTCTTCCTGAATGTTGTGCTTTTATTGTCCTTTCTCCTCACTAAAGTCTTCTCATTCACTTTCACCCCCAGTAACCTCTTGCGCCTTAGTGGCATTATCGCTATCTCTCTTCTTGAATGGTACTTTTATTGTCCTTTCTCCTCACTAAAGTCTTCTCGTTCTCTTTCATTCTCAGTAACTCATGGTGTTATTGCCTTGCGTGGGATGAAATGATTAACAAAAATAAAAATCTTTAGATTTGTTGCTTCTGGCCAATTTAGAATGACAAAGTTATTGCCCTTACATCAATTTTAGTTGTCTGCCCTTTTTGATACAACATACACGGGATTCATATATTGTTTATATATGAAAAATATATATTGCAGCGACTAGAGTTCCGTTTTGTCCTGAAGGGTTAACATTGATTCAAAAGCTCTTTTGTTTTGTTTTGTTTTTTGGTTTTGTTTTGTTTTTTGGTTTTGTTTTGTTTTGTTTTTTTTGTTTTGTTTTTTGGTTTTGTTTTTTTTTTTTTTGTTTTTTCTTTTTTTTTTCTTTTTTTTCAAGCAGAATAAGTCTTAATTTAGTCCTACATTTAAAAATAAGGACGATAACTTTTGGTGAAAAGAAAGTAAAAATACATAAAAATGAAACTGAATCAGTTATATTAAAAATTACAGTGCAAAGAATATCGAAGCCAATGCTGATCTGTTTCAATGTTCGGACACTAGGTGTCTCTCCTGTATTATTTGTGATGGTAAAGATAGAAACAAAAAAACTATTGGAAATCTTTAAGGAGTATCAAAAGTAAATCCTAAATTAGCACTTATCCTCCTGGCATCATTTTTAACTGAAACTTGTTTTTACCCCCAATATATTTAAACTATTATGAATTATAATTTTGAAAAATGAAAATTTCCACTGAAATATGATTGGAAAATTTCCAAAATCTCATCTGAAATCAAATAAATACAAGCTTCAAGCAAAATAGTTACAATATATTGTCTGGGGAAGAAGGTGTCAGTTTAATCTGACACAAGTAAGATATGGGTTAAATTCTTTGGAGAAATTGAAAGAAGCTGATTAAATAAGTGCATAAAAGGTTGTTAAAATGATTAGGAGAAATAATGATATTGATTGTCTTGATCTTAAAGAGACTTGCCTCTTAATATAAACCTCTGGTATGTAATATCAGTCCTTCTGTATGGAAGTGAAAGCTTAATAATTTCCTCATGGATAAAATGAAGGCTGAAGACCACAGAGATGTAGTTCTACAGAAGGATGCTGAGAATACTATGGAGGAAGCATGTGAGCAATGGGGAAGTTTTAAGGAAAATAGGAACAAAAAGGACATTTCAAATCAGAACGATGACAGTTAAAAAATTTTGGGACACATAATGAGGAAGGTGGGCTTGGAGAATTTGATACTCACAAGCCATAGGTTTGCCTATCATCCAGTTCACACTCCTTTCCAATCTTTTGAACAGGGTGAGAGGTTTATCCCTTGTTTTAACTCTATACTTCTAACGTCTCTGCCCGAACTTTTATTTACAATTTATTTATTTTTTTCTTCAATAGGAGTAGATAGGTTTGCCTATCATCCAGTTCACATTCCTCCCCAGTTTTTTGAACACAAGTGGTTTGTTTCCAGTTCATTCTAAACTATTTTTCATTCTTTTTCATTAGCAGTAGACATTTGCGTCTTAGTGGCATTATCACCTTGCTTCGGGTGAATTGATTTTATTTAAAAAGAAAAAAAAAAGGCATACAAAAGTCATAAGTAACCTACTCTTAAACTCATGTAAATGAATTGCAGAAGAGGAAAGGGTAGAAAAAAAATGAAGCAAGCATGATTAAAAGCTATAAAGGATTGAAAGTTGTGGAGTCATGATCACCTAAATCCTGAAGGGACACGGCACATAAAAGAAGACCACTGTTGCCAATTTTTTCAGTAGTTTTCAGGATGGCGCTGATAATTCTTGAGGAAACGGAAGAAATGCTAAAAGAAAGCACTGCAAAAAAAAAAAAAAAAAAGAAAAATACTAAATAAGAATGGAAACAAAATCAGAAACATTAAACTGAACTTTCGATACAAATCTAAAAATCTTGTCAAATATGTTAACATCTCTTCTGATCTGGAAAAATGCTTTTATCTCTTGCAAAAGACACTATTTGTTATAAATGGTATGTTAAGTTTAATGCCTCCAGAATAAAACTACTCTTTTAATCATGTTAGAAAATCTTTTAAGATTTCCTGTAGCATGTTTAATGCTTTATTCCAGCAGTGTGATACCCAGGCTAGTGTTTTCTGCTAACAGGAAGTGGAAAAATTATATTAAATCAATTGCTAGCAGGTAAGAAAGTTTGGTTCACTGTCTTGCTAAACATTTTTTCTTGCTAGAATCTAGCTTATTTATAAGTTTACCTTTTGTCCATATTTAGAATATTACTGCTACATATGGTGTGGTGCTTCTACTATGTATTTAGAGATTCTGCCTGAGTTGGCATCTTGGCTTCAGTCACTTTCCCACCAACATAATATGACTTCCTTGTGCCTTTTCTATAAATCTTTTCATGGTAATTCTTCTAATGAACTTTCCTCTTTGGTACCTTGACTTTACAAATTTGAGCATAGTACAATATTACCATTTTACAGTTGAAATGGCAAGATGTAACCTTAAGTTCTATGCTGTTTCTTTTCTCGCACTTCTCGCTTGTGAAACTTTCTTCTAGCTTCTTGCTTTCCAGTCAGTTTTGATCTTTTTCTTTTGTCAAGTTTCACCTCAAGCAAGGCAGTAAAGCCACTAAGACATGGCTTTACTGGGTGTGGTAGAATTAGAAAACAGTAAGGTTACTAAAGAGCAAGAACAATAGAAGAGTAATCAGGAAGGCAATAGATATCGATTGACATTGCATTTAAATTTTTGAAGATCAAAGTTGGCTGGAAAGCATGGAGCCAGAATAGAGTTCCACAAGCGAGAAGTGCAAGAAATTGTTAGCATTGAACTTATAGTTACATCTATCCAACTCGACTGTAAATTGATGAGATCTTATTGCCAGTCTAGTACTGCCTTTAAATTCAAAAAGTTTAGGTACCATAGCAAAAAACTCATAGCAAACGGTTGCCATGAAAGTACTTTTGTAGAAAAGGATGTAACGTTAATCATTATCTTCTCTCTTCTTAATTCCTCTTCTTAATTCCTCTTCTTCTCTCTTCTTGATGTTTTCTTTTATCATATTCTTTTAGGCTTATGTTGAAACACTTGTTCCTGTATGATCAATTTCAATTCCAGTCAGGTTCATAACATTCACTTGTGAAAAGTATGAATCCACCTCTTCTTCCCCCTGCTATAGGTTAAATAGTAGACCTTTATATCACTAAATCCTTATTATCTCTCCGCCAAATGAAATTAAAATAATCTGCAAAGCTGAAAAAAAAAAAAAAAATTATATCCTCTCTCACTCAGTAACCCCTTGCATCTTAGTGGCTTTATTCCCTTGCTTGGGGTGAAATTGTTTCTTGGTTGACTGCATGACAAGTAAATTCATAATTTTGATAATGATTTTATTCAAAATTCAATAAGGCAAATAATTTGACTTTAAAAACTGGTTCTGAAAGATACACATTTTATGCCCTCTTTGTAACCACAGATAATTTTTGCGGTCTTCATCGTACAATATTTAACATTAAAAGAACATCTGTAATTTCTCAATAATACAATTTTGTTGAAGGCTTTATTGTACTAGGTGCGATGGGTAAATTGTCGCCATTTTATATTCTTTAATTTTGTGCATTTGTGTTTGTTTGTTTGTTTTTTTATTTTGCTACACAGTATAGTAGGGTCAGTTGGGCACCGTCTGTGAGGGAAAAAGTGCACTATGACGCAATTCACTCTGCCAGAAATTTAGAAATAGCATGTTATACTGCTTGGCATTTGTGCAGGAAGCTCCAATTCAAAAAGGGAAAACCTTTTTTTAGACGTCTCATCAGGTGGGGAATCATGGTGTTACTAAAAAATTTTATTCAGAAATACACTTCTAGACGCAAATATCCCCCACTTACATTCTTTGGAAATTGTCATAAAATGTCTTCTAGAATTTACATGTAGAGAAGGAAGGGAATCTAATGCATTTAGTCATGGGTGGATGAAAAGGAAGGGAAAAAGAAAAAAAAGGGGGGGGGTGAAAAGAAAGAGGCTATGGGAAGAGGGTGAGGTGATAAGCGCTAAGAGGAGATAAAATCTGGCCATAGATTTTGTTAGAATGTAAAATTTGAACTTCAAAGGTCTCCTAGGTTGGTTAGGTAGGTGTTTCAAGTAAAAATAATTTGCAGCTAGATACAGTTAAAGTAAATGTTATAATGTTAGGGATCTTTTTTTTTTATCCTTCATATTATTTTGGGATAAAACATTGTCAAGGAGAAAAATAATTTGAGTAATATAATTTTTTTTTATTTTTAGGGAGAAATATGTGGTAAATTCCATATAAAAATAAAAAGCAAAATAAGATTAAATTAGTACTAACTTTCCATTTCTATTGACGTAGGTTGGAAAAGCGGATCAATACTATTGTATATAGGAAGGTAGTTATTAACAAATAATAATAATAAACATAAAAACCGTGAGCTTGGATCGAAACCCAACCGTTGTGTTGTTAGCCCAAATCTCTTCCACTTGTGCTATCCAGACAGCATTAGTAGGCAATGGTAATTCTATTGTTTTTAACATATGTAAACTGACCTTTTAATTTTTTATATATATATATATATATATATATATATTTATTAAAGACATTTTTATGTTTTAACATTGTTATTTATAGATACAAGTATTTAAGCAAATGCTCTGTTTATGATAAACAGTATTAAATAACATTTACCGGCCTGAATGTCCGAGAAATTTTCATAGAAAATATTCGTTCTTTGACAGGATTCGAACCTGCATCCTATAATGGAACCGTCATATATACGCTGACGTGCCTTGACCTTCAGCCACAAAGAACCGTTCGGTAGACAAGGTCGAATTTACTGCTTATAAACACATGCAGAAATTTACTTTATTCTTTTTCTTCTTCAGTTTTTGCCAATTCATTTCCCTTTTTATTTCATTTCATTCCCAGCACAAGAAGGTGATTCCAGTGAATTGTCTCCCTATCCAGAAGTGGATGCTTTCATTACTTCTTTAGTCAGTTCCAATGGACGTTACGGAAAAATCCGACACTGGTTTTATTTTATGGAAGGCAATCTGCTTGTTTATGACATTGTCGGTTATCGTTGGTGTGGAAATATCAACAGACAACATAAAAGCAACAATATCAGGTAGACCAATTTTTGTTTATTCTTGGAAAAATAAAAACAAAAATAACTCAATGGACATTGTAAAGATTAAAAATAGAAAAATTTTTCAAATCTCTTCAGTCAAAAATGAAAGTATATCATTATTCTATAAACCATTTTGCATTCTTTGTCATCGTGTAATTGTTCAGTGCTCTCCAGTAACTATTCTTTTTTAAAATCTCACAAGCTCTTCAGTTGGAATTAAACCAGTGCTTCTCAATGTTTTTACCCAATTCACCTTTTTCACCATAAATCAGAAAATCATTTATTCACTTTCCAAGACAGTCCAACTTGAAAAGTGCATTCCAAATGATATGCCTATATTATTAAAAATCTTCATTCTTTTCCATATTATTTCATATACATTTACATGAATTATTTTTATAAAGACATTTTACAAATTTAATAGCAGATAATGATGATGGATTTTAAAACTTGAATACATCTACAGTAATTTGTTTTCATTTATAATTAATTATTAAATAAATAAACTGAAGCAGTAAACTGAAAAGTTCAATGCCAGGGTATTTAAATTTATTTTCTTTAAATTGGCTTTTCTTTAAATTGGCTTTTCTTTAAATTGGCTTTTCTTTAAATTGGCTTTTCTTTAAATTGGCTTTTCTTTAAATTGGCTTTTTCTTTAAATTGGCTTTTCTTTTTAAATTGGCTTTTCTTTTAAATTGGCTTTTCTTTAAATTGGCTTTTCTTTAAATTGGCTTTTCTTTAAATTGGCTTTTCTTTAAATTGGCTTTTCTTTAAATTGGCTTTTCTTTAAATTGGCTTTTCTTTAAATTGGCTTTTCTTTAAATTGGCTTTTCTTTAAATTGGCTTTTCTTTAAATTGGCTTTTCTTTAAATTGGCTTTTCTTTAAATTGGCTTTTCTTTAAATTGGCTTTTATTTAAATTGGCTTTTATTTAAATTGGCTTTTATTTAAATTGGCTTTTCTTTAAATTGGCTTTTATTATAAAATTATATTACTCAAATTATTTTTCTCCTTGACAATGTTTTGTCCCAAAATAATATGAAGGATAAAAAAAAAAAAATGATTTTATTCTGCTGAAGATTACAGTCAATGACAAATTTGTGCAAAAAGTAAAAAATCTCCTCTGAAATCACCCTGGGGGGTGGGGGTGGAATTCTCCTAGTTGAGAATCCCTTTGATAAACCAAGTAAAAAATTTTGTAGCAAGTTTATCATAGTTTCTGCTTTTTTATAAGGATTTTTTTTCTTTTGATATAATTTTAATTCTCTTGCTATATAGCTAAAAGGGACCTTTTTGTTATTTATTTTTTTTATTTTATCAAAATTATAAAACAAATTACATACAAAAGAACCGTGTAGTATGACAAAGCTCAACATTATGAGGTTTTTAATCCCATAATTAATGACACTTTACATTAACTAGAAAAGGAAATATCTAGCTGTTATCGTATTGTCACTATTTTTACCAGGTCTGGTAAATATTCATATTTTTCCTTTTTAAATCTTGGTCAAGAGCAGCTACACAGAATGCCATGCTTCATGTGCTGACTGTGATTCAGGATTGTGTCAAAGCTTTCAGGTGAAAATTTCTTCAACTACGCATTTTACTCTTTATAGAAGGCATCCTCAGGCTGGAACGAAATAAACTAGTGTGTGACAAAAATGTTAAAATATGAGAAAGAGGAGTTAATAAAGATCCTTATCAGATGTGGTGGAAGAATTTTTTTTTTTTTTTTTTTTAGTGAAGCCACTTTCTCTTGGATTGGAAATTTTACCTCACTCTGAGTAGATTTGTTTTTTCCTGTTACTTCTCATATTTTTGCAATAATCAATGATATCATGTATGAACCCAGTCTGAGGTTGGCTATAGACAGTTATGAGATCAGTGCACTTTCAATGTATTTTCTTTGTAAATTCTTTTTTTCTCTTAATCATATTGGCATTTTTGTTTTTATTTTGATAACTATTGCAGGTCTGCTCTTCTGAATAAACAATGAAATAATAAAATTGGATAGAATTCAAAATTATTCCATAAATATTTCTTTCTTCAGGTTATTTGTAGACCTAAAGAAATGTGTTTATTACCAAAAATGCCATGACCCTGTCTGTAAACAGGCTGATTATTGTTCTGATTGTAAGTATTACATTTGACATAAAATTCTTTTTTCTTTGATTTTCTTTTTCTACTGTTAAAGATGATGGAAAATAACATGACTTATTCTCTAGTAACTGAACCAATTCTTTTTATTCCATCCCCCCTCTTAAACATATCCCCCCCCCTCTTAAACATACTTACCCTTTCCCCTCTCTTTGTCATGTTTATGAGGAGGGTGCTAACCCAATTTCCAAAATCAGTATTTCAATGCACAAACATCAGAATACAGGCTTTGGAAAGTGGGTTAAGTTGAGAACTTTCCAGCACCCCGCCCAACTTTCATACATGTTACTAGATACCTCCATTGATTTTCTAAAAAATTAGCATACAATGAAGAAAAAATATGCTAAACTTAAAGCAAAGTTTTGTCATTAAAATCTTTATTATTAATAGGAAAGAGCAAAGGATTTTTTTGATCCTTGAACATTAGAAATCTTGGTTTGAGGCGGGAGGGACAAAGATTAGTATAGGGAATTTTTGCAGTGCAAAATGCATTGATTTGGAAATTCTTGCAAAATAATGAAACTTTCAGGACTTGTTCACAAATGAATGAAATTATTTAAAAAAAAAAAAAAAAAAAAATTTATGTCCCTGCCCCAACTTAATTTTATGAAATTCTGAAAAATCGACTTTTGTATTGCTTAATGTTTATATTAGTTAAAAGCAGAAGTCCTTGGAGAATTTACATCTTCAATTTCTTTTTGTTGAACAGGACCCTCAGTTACAGAAAATCTCTTTTGAATCTTAAATTAAAAAAATACAATAAAACTAAGATATTTATTTAGAAAAAGTTTTTAATTGCTTTTATAAAAAGATATTATTTTTTTTCTTTAGCCGATAGATCTAAAAACAAATTTTTTCGACGAATAATGAATTTTTTACAAGAATTGTTTCTATTTTTTTAAAAATTTTTCTTAGATTTAAAACTATTAAATTATTCTTTCAAATTTCTGTATTTGTGCTGGTTAGATGATATTGTTATTAAGTAAAAACTATATTTACTAATCATAAATGTAAAAGTTTACTATAATTTATTGACCACCAATATTTTAAAATAAATTACAAATCTTTTTTTGTGTATGTGTATAAACATGCCAAATTAAATTCAATAAAATATTAAATTACAGAGAATGTTTTTCTGAATTTTTAAGATTATGGTTAGTTAAAAATTTATATAAGAAAAACTCTCTCACATTGTATTCCTAAAGTAACTTTTACAGATATGTCTGCCATAGAAAAAAAATTAGATAAACTTTCGCCTGTCAGTCAAGCTGTCAACACCTTAAACAGCTACTGCCATGTTAAGTAAAGCATTTTTGCAATATTTTAAACTAAAAGTAACATATGTTTCAAATCAGATTAATTAAACTTTAAATCAAATAATTTTCCTCAAAGTTTCAGAAAAATGTTATCTTTGAAAAATTTTTTAAGAAAGATAATTACATTGTGATGAAAGATGGCTGAAAATGGCGCTAAAATCGGCGATTTTTATCAATTTCAAAACAAAAACTTATTTCAATTCAATTCAAATTAGTTTTGAAGTATTTATTATTATTAGTAGTAGTAGTGTTTATTTTATTTGTTAGAACACTAACAAGGGTCATAACTTCGTTCCCATCTAGAGATTGAGTTATGTCCCTTGAGCAAAATTTCTCTCGGAGAAGGGAGATAAAAATGGAACTTCAAGATGGTGGTCGTGCATCTTCGCATGTCCTTTATGAAACTATCAATCTACGGGTAATCACTGATCATATTTTACATCTATTGTCATCCAGTAGTAAATAAAATGTATAAAAGTTTTGTGTTCGTTCTTATTTGACACAAATAAGTACACCCAGTGACAAAACATTATTGGAGTTATTAAATTAAATTTAATCTATTAGCTTGAAATTAAAACTCAAATAAAAGAATCAAGAAAGATTACTAAAAACTATTTTGGCAAAGTCGGTTAGTGACCTTCTGTAACAATTCTTAACAACCACTCTTACCTTTAGTTAGTCTAATAAACATTACAATTCCATCTTGGTCCTCCAAAAACTCCCCCACAGCACATAATCTTATTGTTTCCAAAATGGCGACCAATCAGGTGGGATTTGAGTTTAGGAAACAGACGAACGTCAGATGGAACTTGGTCTGGTGAAACCACAGTTGGCTGCTTCAGCTACTGCAACCTGAGTAGTGTGAACAGACACATTATCCTGAAGCAAGAGCACATCTGCCCTCAGCCTTTCGACTTGATTGCCTCCTTCAGTTGTCTTAATTCTGATGCTTAGTACTGTCCATTAATAGTTTTTTCCCTTTTTGAGGTAGTCTATCGTGATTATGCCTTCAGAAAAAAACAAAAAAAAAACAGAAGCCATCATCTTGCCAACAGATGCTGCCTACATGAACTTCTTCATGGGTGGAAAACCAGCATTTCCACTGCTTTGAATCTTTGATTCAGGTTCAATGAAGTGAATCCAGGTTTCATCTTGAGTTAATAATCTGCAATGAAAATTCTCAGGGTTAGCCTGGAAACGAGTCAGAAGTGTTCTGGAAATATCAACCCTTTTCAGCTTCTGTTCTGGTGTTTGCAAGACAGGTTCCAAGCATCCTAACAGCTTGCTCATCTCCAAGATCTCAAGTTAAAATAGTATAGACTGAACCAGAACTAATGCTTATAGACTTAGCTATCTGCTTGACAGTAAGACGTCTGTTGGTGAATAGCATCATGGATTTCCTTGGATGTCATCCCTTTCTTTTGCAGATGCTTATGCCTCTGTCTTATCCATATTTAGATTTGTCGCACACCTCTCACCTTTTGTATGGGCCTCACCCGCACAGGAATTAAGACATAAAACAAGAAAAACTAATTCAGATTTCTAAGAAGTGACAGTGTTGCCACAAAAAAGGTTCAGCTATGGCTCTTCTTTTTGGGTGTGGGTTAAAACATTTTGGACGACCCTCATACTACTAAGATATAAACTGCAGCAATGTAAATTTTAACTAGACTTTTATCATCATTGGCTTTATCTCGTAACCAAGAATTTAATTTCTTTGCTGATCACTTCCTTTGTGATGATGGCTAAATTTGCCACCAACATGTAATTTCAGGACTTCCATTTTCACCAAAATCTGCTCCCAAGCAAGAGTTGTTTGGTGATGAAAGAAAATCAGATTAGAAGAAAGTGCTGATGACATGAATTTGTTTAAGGTAGACCTCAATTTGCCAGGAATTAACACACACACTTGATTTCATAATCTTTCTCTGTGACACATGGAATTGGGACATGCAGAATCCAGTTATAAAACTGTTACAACTGCCACTATTTACTTTATTCAGACTATTGTCCTCATCTTTGTCACCATATTTATTACACCGTTTTGGCCATTGTATGCTCCAGCCTTCCTCAGGTGGTTGGAATGTCGAACTTAACCTTTTATTTCGCTCACTGGGGTAAACTGTTCTAGTTCCATGTGCCATGTTTAATGGATGTCAGTTGTCAGTTATCTCCTGTTAATTCCCCTCTCCAAGTTCTCTACTGCCTTAACCAGGTATTGAACTCACACTCTTTGGGTTCTGTCACTGGATCTAACCAATGCTTTTTTATCTACTGTCATTTGTTCTGAAGAAGGCTGGATGTGTATAATGGCCAAAACGCTGTAATAAATATGGCGACAAAGATGAGGACAATAGTCTGAATAATGTTAATAGTGTACATAATACCTCATCTCAGAAATATAGACAGATACTGCCACTGACTCTTATAATTTTGAGCGGCACCTTCTGTAGCATCCCTTCATCAACCATTGAGACGTTGTAATCACCATCCACTTATTCCATTTTTGGAGTCTTTGCAGTTGTTTGTGCTTAGATAACACTTGTACAAATCTCTGTAATCAACTTAAAGTGTTAGTTTTTAGATGACAGTTTGCAATGTTTAAGAAATGTACCTGAAGAAAACTATGTTAAAGATGGCTTTTCTCTTAACACTGCTATTAGTATATACTTGTTTGGTAAGTTTCATTGTTTTACCAAAGTATTTTTAGAATTTAGTAAAACCCAAACAGATGAAACTGGAATTAGTTAAAAAAACAAAAAAACAACCAGTTGTTTTTTCATAAATTTATAAAAATGTTTAAACAGAACAAGATAAAATTTCCCATTTTATGATGAACACACAATAATCACAAGATGACCATCCCTCCCTCTTATATCTCAGAAATTCTTGTTTTAATTATTAAAGACAGAAAAAGCATTTTTTTTCAAAATTTATAATTACTGTTCCTCATCATGTGTTTGTTTTAAATTTTCTTGTTCGGATATTTTTGTAAATTTATGAATAAAATTGTTTTCAGAATTATTTCTTTATTGTTTGCTCACATTTATATAATCTCAAAAGTAAAAATAATTCCTGTAAATAAACAATCTAATAAATAGTGTTTAATATTTTTGTTGTAAATTCTTGAGAGAGGAAAAAAAAACAAATCCATTTTCATGTTTGGGTTTTATTAAAATTGTTAAAATATCTTTTTACAACAATGTTTGATAAAATACAGTAATAATAACGTTGTGAAGAGAAAAGCCATTCCTCGTCGTATTTTTGGTTTTTCTGTTTTGGTTTTTACATGTACATTTGTTAAACTTTGCCAAAAGTTTTATGAATTTTTGGATTGCTGTATCTAAAAAAAAAAAAAAAATTATCAACTTTTTTTTTTTTTTTTTAAAATGTAGGTGTAAAAGTGAGATCAGGAAAACTGCTATTATGTTGTGGTTTGTAAAACTCTCCTGTGTTCATACAATATGACTAATGAAAAAAGTCGGCAGCGTTGCGATCAATCAGCAAAGATTACTATACAAAATTTTAGTGTCTTTTTTTTTTTTTTTTTTTCCTTGATTGGAAAATTATGCAAAAAAAAAATCAAATAACTGTCGAAATGAAATTTTCAGGACTTGTTCACAAATGAATTTTTTTTTTTTTTTTTATACATCTCTTACCTTCACCCCTCTTGATTTTTATTAAATTTCAAGAAATTAAAATTTCACCTTCATATTATTATTATTATTATTAGTAAAAAGCAGTTTAAATCATCAGTTTTTTTTTGTTGTTTGTGTGTTTTGTTTTTTGTTTTTTTTTTGTTTTTCTTTATCAAACAGAAACACCATTTACCAAAAATCTGCTGTGAATTGTAAAATAAAAAAATGGAATAAAACTAAGGTAGTATTAATTGTTTTTATAAACAATTAATTTATTAAGGACACTATTGTCTTAAGAAAAAAAAATTTAAGGAATAATGAATTTTTACAAGCTTTTTTTTTTTTTTAATTAGAATAATTTATAAAGGTTTAAATCTTTTAGTCTTAATTTGAACATTTTAGATGGTATTATTAAGTAAAGACTATTTACTAATCATAAATGGAAAAGCTTAGTACAATTTGTCAAACACCATTATTTTAAAAAAAATTTTGAATGGTTTTTGTATGTGTAAACATGCTGATTTTTGTAGATATGGATATAAACAGCAAAAAATCAGTGATACCTATAGTAAGATACCTATAGTAAATTTAAAGCCAAAATATGTAAAATTCAATAAAACAGATTACAGAGAATTTTTTCCTAAATTTAAGATTGAGTACTTAAATTTAAGACACTCACATTATAGATATAGCCCCCCCCCCCACCAGAACAGCATTAAGTAAACAGTTACCGCCATGCTAAAAAATGCATATCTGTGATATTTTAAACTTAATGTAATTATTTCTTTCAAATCAGATTAATTATATTTTAAATCAGCTAATGTAATTTTCTGAAGCGTGGAATATTTTATTGTGGGAAGCTTTCTTTTTTTAATAAAGAGAATTAGATTCTGACGACAGATAAAAATGTCACTAAAATAAAAGAAAAAAAATTTCAGCAATTTCAAAACTCCTTCCAATTAATTTAAATTGGAAATATTAAATTTAATCTATGAGCTTGAAATTAAAATAAAAGCTTCAAGAAAAATTAATTTTAAACATTTGGTATCACAGATCTTTGGAGGTACCTAATTAAAACCAACAGGTTATGTTTGACTATTTATTGGAATTAAAATAGCAATGTTGGAAATGTTAATGTTACTCCTCTTGGAGTCTGGCCCTTTTGCTCAATTTGCATAAAAGCTGTGAATGGGTTATTTTTTTGGTAGTGGGGGTGGTGTTAGACTAAAACCTAAGGTTGTACAAAGAGAGAAGGCAAGTGCTTCTTAGCTAGTATATGTACATATTTGTTGTATAACGATTTTCTAAGAACACACTGTTGTTCTTGAATAACCATACATTTGTTTGTTCATATCACCACTGTTGATTTTTATGCCAACACTGTTTATCGATATAGCTCTATGCAGGTCTTGACAGTGTTTTCTTTTTTAATAGTATTATTTTTTTTTTTTATACTCCACTGCCAGTTTGTATTCTTGTCTCAGCTATGATTGAAAAAAAAAAGTGCTCAGTTCATGACCCCTATGAGTGGTAAATGTCATTCAAATCTGAATTAATTTGTAAATGCATTTCCCATGTCACACAGACTGGATTGTAAATGAGCATTAGTGGACTATGGCATGCCTATAATGTTAGACTACTCAGTGTAGCCTGCGACAAATTTTCAACACCATGAATTGTGTGTGTTCAGATCAGTTTTGTGGAAACATGACTTTATGCAATCAATATTTCACTGCCTTCAAAAGTAACATCAAGACTGAAAAAGCAGTTAGCAGCATCGTTTTGTTAGTCTTTTCAATATATAATCATATAACCAGTGGGTCAAAACTAAGGATCTATGTTATAAACTGGAAAACTAAATCTAAACTTTTCCTTCTCCAAAATAAAAGAAACGGTCAATGCTTGCTTAAGACGCATATTTTTGGGGGATATATTAATATATTTGTGCAATTTACCCTTGCAAATGATGGCTAAGTTGCTCCAAGTAATGTGGTACTTCACATTATTTAGCTGTGCTGGTCTGGTTTTCTGATGCAGTATGTAAAATTCTCTCCATATGTATTTTAAATAAAATCAAGAACAAGAAACAAGTTTTGACTGAATGTGGATTTTATTTTCTGAAAGGTCTGTCATGTTTAAATTGCAAAGAGTCAACCAAATTCTAGTCTAGTTCACGGCTGGGTACCCATCCTGATGTCTGGATCTATTGGATTTGTTTATTATCCAATTGTCAGAAATCTCAACATTCCTTCCAAGAAGACATAGAACAGATTTGTTTGAGAAAAACAAAAACATTTTAATAATTTGCCTTGATCAATGGTTGGGGGGGGGTGTTAGAAAAAGGTCATTCATAGAAAAGTTTACTAAATTTTTTTTATTTTATTTTTAATGACAATAAACTCGATGATTCATTTTCAGAATCAATTATATTTGTATAGTTAATATCTGATCCATTTATTAATTTCTACATTCTTAATTTTCTTTTTTCTCCTCCTTTTTAAAGATTATGACCTTCCCCCTCGTGTGCTGCCGTGGCTTGCAGAATTGTCTATGAATGAAACAAATGAAGACCTAATGTACGATGAGTTAGATGACGATTCTTTGGCTGATGCTGTGGAACATATTGAACAAAGCAGACAGAGTTTGGAACTGGAGGATGACGAACTTATTTCTGCTACAGATACACAGTAACTTTTCTTTTAAATCTACAAAAGCACTCCCCCCACCACCACCATTGCAAGATGTTTTGCTTCTAAATCATGACAGGTTTACTAAAGATCTTAGCTAGGTGGATATTTCAGGAAAAATTTGGAAATCATAAAGAGAGTATTTCAACCAGTCTACTCTTTGGTCTTTTGATGTGTATCACATCATCTTTTAATCTTCCAAGAGTTTCTTTTTTCTTTGTATTCTAAGACCTGATGTGAGAATAATAAAAAAAAAAAAAAATCACTATTTTTGCCTCTCTCTCTTTGAATTGTTTGCATCATTTTTTTTTTTTTTTTCTTTAAATCTGTAGAATGTTGCATGTCATGTGCAGAAGATCATTTCATATTTAACCCATTACCTGCCATGAGCCCCATTTGGGGATCTGTTAAAATTAAACTCACTACATGTTATTCTTTGTATTTACATTGAATTGCTTACATACATTGTATTTGCAGAGGTATATTTTACAACACTTAGCCTTTAGAGTTTTTATTATTAGCCGTAAGAAGACATTTTCTGTCCTAATTTTACATTTCACGAGTAGAAAAATAATGAACATTTTGAAAAGTATTTTCTTTAATTTTTCTAATCAATATTATTTTTTGATGTTTCATACACATATATATTTGATGTTCTTGTTTCTATTAAAACGACAATGGTAACTACTGAAATTAAACATAAGGAATAAATAAACTCCCCAGACAACTGTCTGGGCCAAAAATGCGCATTAAAAAAAAATTTGGCAGTTAATGGGTTAATTTGGCCAAGGATAAGGCTATGGTATTAGTCCATTTTTTTTTTTTTTTTTTTTTAACTTTTTCTTCAGTGAAATCTATTTCAACCCGTCTACAGAATTTAGCCCAAGTGCATCTTCCAGAAATAATGAACAACAATTTTCTAAAGAAAAACACAGACCACATCCATGACCAAAATGGTAAACATTTTATGCTGTGGGTGTTTCTAGTTTTCTGCCATTTCTTTCAGTCTTGGTTCATTCCCTGCCTGATCAGAGAAGAAAAGTCTCTCACGACTTATAAAGAAAATTTTTTTTTTTAAAACAAGATTTGCAAAGAAAAACAAGTAGAAATAGTTTTAATATTTTTTTTATTATTTTATTACAAATCCTCCCTTTTTTTTTTTTTTATTGGTTTTCTTTTTTTAGTTTTTATATATATATATATATTTATATATATATATATATATATATATATATATATATATATTTCAAAAAAAAAAAAAAAAACTAAGTAAACAAGCCACTACCATAACTTATGTTTTTTTTTTTTGTTTTTTTTTTTTTAAATCCAATAACCATTTTCAAAGAAAAAAATCCCTGTGCACCAACAGATTTGAGGTCAATCTTCAGCTATTTTGTATATTTTTTTCCCACCTCCCACCCAACCCTTTTATTGAAGCAATTATTACAGAAAAAAGTAATCATGACATTGTCTTAAAGAACTTACTTTAAAAACGTCAATTAAACATAAAATTCAATAAAGTGAAAAAATAAAATCGTAAAATTCACAACTGTTTGTTTTCATAATTAACCAATTTTTTTTTTTTCGACTCAAGAGAAGATAACAGTTTGGGCCAGTAAGTAATTGTCGACTTTTGAATTATTTTGGGTGGGGGTCATTTTAAAGACTAAACTGCATTTATTTTCTCTCCTTCATGCATCTGAAATATTAACAATCAAGTCAATTTGCTCTTTCTTGGAATTATTTAAAAAGAAATCAATTTAATATAAAAGCTCCCTACCCTCATAAAGGATAGTAATTTAAGATCTCCAGTTTGTTCAATTTGCCTCTCATTAGTTAAATTTCGGTTTGTCTAACAGTTTGTTAAAAACGAACTGATTTTTATGTATACTAAAGAGTAATGGACCTGAAAGAAAAGCTAAAATAAGTGTCAGTTTGGATCTATTTAAATTATCAAATTCTTGAATCAACAAGAAACTAAATTTTCAGACTGGATAAACCAAGCTGAGTAAAAGAACACAAACATGAGACTAACAACTTATGTGAAAACGAGTAAAAAATAAATGTTTCACCTTGGCTCAGAACTTTTCCTTTTGTCTATGACACACACAAGACATATATAAATGAGAAGGATAAAAAAAAAAAATGCAATACTCATAAGGCTGGCTTAAGCAATAATTGTCATTTAAATTTTAAATTGATTCTTTAAATTTCATCTGACATTGTGAAGATTCAGAACAGTCACATCCCATTTCAGAATTAGATCAAGTTGAAAACAAAGGGAATGAATATCTTTGGATAATAAAATTGCCATTTTGATGGAATTTGCTTCAAACTTTTTCAGCAGAAATATAAGTTTCTTTCCAGCTTGAATTGAAGCCTAAAATACAAAGAAATCCTTAGTTGCAAAAACAACTGCTTTAACTTTGTGTGTGTGTGGGGGGGGTTTAGAAATAAACTGAGCCCAATACTGAAATATAAACTACTCTATTTGAAATTGTATTAAAAAGTTCTTAAAACAGAAAATAACATTTTTGTTTGATTCATCCATCTCCAACTGTAAAAAAAAAAAAAATGTGTGAAACAAAGTGGGTAGATAATTTTGTTTAATAACATTTCCACGATCTATTGTTGTTGGGTTTTCCTTTTTAGAAGGAATGTCTCAATATATTTGGAAAGTTTAAAAAAAAAAAAAAAATAACTTATGCATAAAGGAAAAACTACAAATTACAGAATAAAGAATGAATAATTTAAATAAAAAATTAAATCATTTCAAACAATCAGCATATTATTTACATTATTCAGACTATTGTCCTCATCATTGTCGCCATATTTATTACACCGTTTCAGCCGTTGTACGCTCCTGCCTTCTTCAGGTGGTCGAACTGAACCCTTTATTTCAGTCACTGGGGTAGACTGTTCTAGTTCCACGTGCCATGTTTTATGGATGTCAGTTATCAGTTATATCCTGTTAATTTCCCTCTGAGATAACTGATAACTGACATCCATTAAAAACATGGTACGTGTAACGAGAACAGTCTACCCCAGTGAGCGAAATAAAGGGTTCAGTTCAACATTCCAATCACCTGAAGAAGGCCGGAGCGTACAATGGCTGAAACGTTGTAATAAATAAGGCGACAAAGATGAGGGCAATAGTCCAAATAATGTACATAATACCTCATCTCAGAAATATAGACAGAAACTGTCAGCATGTTGATGTATTCCTTCTAAAAACAGTGGAGAAGGAGATCTTGGGAATGCTATTTAGAAAATGTTACCTATTTTCAAGAACTTTTAAGTGTGAATTAACATGTTTTGAACTTAATGCATCATTAGTGTAGTTTGTAATCAAGTCTAACATGGATATTCTAAGTGTATCTTCCACATTTTGAAAATCGGCATTCGGAAACCTGACTTAATTTGGTTTGAGCTCTGGCAGCAGACAGAAAGATTTATATTTCAGTCAGTTTGTTCATGTAACAAACCCACAGCCTAGTTTTAAATTAATCAAGCTCCATTATCAAGCTGTTCGGAAGAAAATCCAAACCTTATTTCTACTGGCAGCCGTGCATGGTGTTACGCCAATGCTATCAAAGAAATGACACTAGATGGAAACCTCTCTACCCCGCCTTGCTACTGTGTTCTTATAGTGTCTGTCTTTTCATCTAACTTGATAAACAATTTGGGAAATGTCTATTATTCAGTTGTCTCCCTTGCGAAGACAGTGCAAGGGAGACAACACTAACATAATGAAAGGAGACACATTTTGTCAGCCAAGTTTTTGTTTTTTGCAAGAATAAGATTCTCCAATAAGCCAAAGAATAGAATGCCAAGTGAAGACTAATAACATTGAGTGCTTGTAAAGACGAAACAAAAACAATTGTCAGTCAAGGGTTTGGCACTTATTCTTAGAGCATTTACATTTGTAAGAAGACCGACTATTCGACAGGAAATCAATATTAAATATATTGTATCTGCTCAATGGGTGAGAGAGTTGTATTTGCTTCACAGATTCCAAAAAGGTCTGTTTAAGCCAATATTTCAAATGTCATTTTTTTTTTTTCCTATTCGCAATCCACCTAACTGGCCTTGTGGCAGACTAACTTCACTGTTAAAGCCCTTTTAGCAAAGATGAAAGGTCATTTTCACTTTAGGTAGAGAGAAAGATTTTGCAAGCCAATGGAAATAAGCTATAAGGAAAAATAAAATGGAAAATAAAATAACATGATTTGGGGGTAAAACAAGAAAATATTTTAGCAACAACAACTTGGATAAATTGTGTCTGTCTTATTTACAGCTGAAGGGCAATGAATAAAAAAAAAAAAAGATTAATTGTTTTCCTCAAATCACAAGCAATCAAGAATAATTCTTATTTGATTTATTCAAAAAATATATACACCCTATTTAATATATTAGAGCAGCGTTCAAATGTGTAGAATATTTGAGTTGGCAGTTTTTTTTTTCTTGTTTTTTTTATTATGTGGCCTCATATTCTAAATATGCATTCAACAAAATTTTCAACAGCATTAAATCTTTTACAAACTTGTGGGAAAAAATATATATAAACACAAAGTTTAAAATGAACAAGAAATATAAAAAGTTAAAGACAAACCAATAACCAACACAGACCATCTTGATTAAATTAATTTTTTTTTTTTTTCCTTCACAAGTCGATGCAAAGTGGCCATATTCTGTCAAGAAGACAGAAAATAATTATTTTTTCAGATTCCTTTCAAGTTTTTATCTTTTCGATTTACATGAAATGATTAATATTGTGGAAAAAAATTTTTTTTTAACTTGTGTACTTAGAATATGAGACCAGATAAAAAAAAAAAAAAAAATGATTATTTTTAAAGGCTTCAAACAAAAAAAGGATATAAAATAATCCTATTGACATTTGTGTTGTCAACTGGAAGTTGATACATTTGTAATTGTTTTATTTTTTTAAATTTTTTTTTCAGACCCCCATAGGGCGGACAATGAAAAATAGTTTAAATGCCCAACCGTCAGAGAGACGAGTGAAGTCTCGTGTCTGGATAGCAAGGACCGAAGATGTTGAACAGTGAACTCGACATCAGAGAGAAGCACAATTTAAGACACTCCCCCCCCACCACCTAGTCAGCCGCAACAATAACTGATGTTTGGGAAGACATTCACAGTTTGGAAACTCTTTCAAAAACTAAAATCCAGAGTTAAATTTAAAATTCTATATCTGAATTGCAGCACTTTTTGTTTATTTCCAGTGTAGTGTGGAATTTCCAAGATACACGGGGATCTGTATACTCGTTCTGCGTTGTTAATAGATTGATCAATTAATGTGCTATTACTTTAAAACATCTGATTTCTTGTAAAATAAGATTCTGAACCAAAAATCTCCCAGTAATTATGAACCCTCCCAACCCCTTGTGCCTTACAGTAAGCTGTAGACATTCATGCATATTTTCATATAAATGGAATGTGGCACATGTTCATGTTTTAAGGGTCCCACACATACGTGGGACTAAAGACAAAAATTGTTCAAGTCCTCTTGGTACTTCCCCATATGGGGATGCCTCAGGCAAAAAGAGATTAATTCTGACTCTTAACAAGCTTCCTGGGATTGGAGCGCATTATTGTACATGGCTGTAAATAGATGTTCACTAAACTATACTGGAGCACCTGGTGATACAAGAAATATTTGAGCACTTCGAAAATGCAAAATTTTTAGTAGAGATTTGGGTAGAAGCCAAATATCTTTCACCTCTCCCCTTGCAACACACACTGTTTACTATGAATAAAAGTATTTGTTATTATGTGTTCGGAAAGTTTGTCTTATTTCTCTCATTGCTTTCTATTTAGAAAAGAATCAATTGTTCAACTCTTAATAAAAAAAAAACTTATCAAAAATGGGGGAGGTTGTCTAAGTTTTGTAACATTCACCAAGCTGAAAGATGAAGAAGATTGTGTAGTGCCAATCTTTCAGACAGGAAGGATCAAGCAGCTCTGAAAAAAAAAAAAAAAGCCTTCCAAATCCTAGTTTGTCAAGTGGGAAAGAGAGGGAGGGTAGTCAAATTCTGTCTTTTGCCCCCAGTGTAATATAAACAACCATCTCAATCACATGGCACAGATGCCTGTTCATGGTGTTTAAAAAAAAAAAAAACATTAAATCATGTTAAATATTTCTCTTTCATCTGTAGAGAAAGAGGAAAAAAAAAAAAAAAAGAGTTTACTAGTGTAATCCTAATAGATATTTCACACACTATAAGTCCTCAGGGTTTGAATTTGACCATATTTCAGTATATTTTTTTTTAATGTCTGATATCTTACAAGTTTTGGATGCTAAAATACAATGACAAAACTCCTGTAAATTCTCTAAATTTGACTCATCTCAGGCAATCATTACAGCCGTTTTTCTAGCAAAAGAAATTTCAATGCCTCATGACATTTGTAAATAATTTTCTTTTTAAATTAGTTTTTTGCTTGATAAATTTTTACCTGTTCTCTACATAAAAATTTAAGTTTTTTTATTATTATTATTACAAATGAGAAAAATAGCCTTTCTAATAATGCATGTATCACAATTAAGATACAGCTCTCTAAATATAATTATACACACCTATATATATGTGTGTGTGTGTTGGTAGGGATAATTTTTTTTTTTTAAATTAAAAGAAATTTTCTCACCCAAGAGCATTTTCTAGCTTATAAATCTTCGATCCAAAACCTATCTTTACTGCCTACACACACACAAAACCAAATATTTTATGCAAGTGAAGAACTTAGGTATTCAAGGCACTGTGAAAACCCCATCTACAATTGACCCCATCCCATGTCCCAAAATACCAAAGATCTTTTATTATTATCACAGAAGCTGTGAGGTTGGAATTGAAAATTAAATTCTATGCTTAAATTCTTATCTAGTACTGTCTGGCTAAAGACTTTTAAAAAGAACAAATATGTTGGAATATTTTTTTCAAATCTTGATGGACGAACAATTTATTTAGTTACACTTTGTTTATAAAAAGACAACTTTTCAGATAAAAGAAACCAATAAAATAAATAAAAGATAAGCCCTGATGTTGAAGATTTTTGTCGATGAACCATTTCAGGTTTGGTCTGTTTAAATTTTTTTTTTTTTTTCCTGTTCTTAGCATTTTGAGATGCTTGAAAAATGTTTTTTTAGTCAAGATTTGTGAGAGGAAGAATTTTACTAATTCAAAAATTAAATTTCTTTTGGGAAAATGAAAAAAAAAAAATAATAATTCAGCAAGATTTATTTGAAGAAACTTTTGATGTAGAGATCAAATGGTTTTTTGCTTTGGGAATTGCTGAAGCCATTATGTGTGAAGGAATATGCCAGGACTTTTGTGCTAAAGAGAAAAACCTTCAACTGAGAGGTGAAATATTTATTTATTTATTTATTTTTTTTTTGTAATTTCAAGAATCACGTACCCCCACAACAATGTTGAGACAATTTCATTTTTGATGAACAAAAATACTAAATTTAAAACTGACTTCAAAAATTTTATATTTTACAAAAAAAAAAAAAAAAAATAATAAAATAAAAATAAATGAAGGCATGAAAGCTTGCTTCATACCAATAGGAAATTTAAGTTCAATTTTTTCCTTTAAGTTTGATTGTTGGTCTTAGATAATAAAAGTAATTTAAGAAAAAAAAAACAAACAAAAAAAACAAACGAAAAAAACAAATGAAAGAAGTGAATGAGAGTGAACAACACCCACCCCAACTAAAGCCTGCCAACCGTGGCAAGGAATGCTCTCAGATTTGTTTGGGACTTTTTTTTTTTTTTTTTGAGAGTGAGAGAATAGAAAAGAGTTTCCAAACTGGGTGCATTCCACTTCAGTTTCTAAATTAAACTGACATCCCCAAAATAAACAAAAATCCCTAAATCAAAAATAACTTGCCATAGTCCAACTGTGGCTCTGGTCCCCTTTTCTTTGCCGGCTGAATTGTCCACTGCAGTAAAATTCTAACAATTGCCAATGCTTGACCCACAAAGAGAAAATAAGGTGTGGTCGTGTGTTCCTTGTTGCTTTTATGAAGAAAGATGTTTTTGTTTTTTTTTTTCCACCATTTTTAATAACCTTCACCTATCATCACCTTCCGTTTGTCAAAGGAACTTCAGGATAAGTGGGAAATTTAGCTGTCACTACTTTGTTGGCTGTCTTATAAGAAGGGAACAAGCCATTCTTGCCCAATTTTCGATTCACGCCTTTTGAATAGCCGTCCCAGTGGTTACCAGCAATACCAATCAGGTCTCCAACTTCTAAAGCAATTTCTTCTTTACGTTTGGGGACATGTTTTTGAATGGCCTCCACGTTGTGTGCATTTTGTCCTCCAAAATAATAAATGTCATCCAGAGAATAAAATCTCTGCGAGGCGTCCCCATGATAGGTTTGCATCAGTTCATAAGCAACTCGGCAGACCTGAAAAAGGAAGAAAAAAAGAAGTGAAATAACTGTCACCAAAGCTAACACCAAAGTTTTAGTCTTTATTAGAGTTTTTTCTGGCAAAAAATGAAATTTATGTCTTCTTTTGCACAAATCAGTTATAATAATGACAATATGACTTTTTTTTAGGGAAGGGGTTACAAAATGCACTTACCACCAATTTTTCATTTATAATTTCCCAGACCAGAAGCACTAAAACCTTGTTTCACAGTTTTTAGTCTGTAAGGGAGATAATTTTTTTTTTTTTTTTTTTTTTCTTTCTTTCTTAACCCTTTCAGCCCTGACCACCACTTTACCGGTGGTAAAGAAATATAGCCAGTGGGTGGAACGGTGGCAAAGAAATATGATGTAATGCCCAGCCAGTGGGTGGAACGGTGGCAAAGAAATATGATGTAATGCCCAGCCACTGGTTGAACAGTAGTAGAGAAAAATGATTTAATGCTCATCTACGGGTTGAATGGTTGGTAAACACTTGTAACTATTTTTATATCTACTGTGAAACATTACATACCAATTATTTGTGAATTTTGACTCCCAATCTCAGGAAGAAAGGTTAAAATTGTGCATGAATGCAGGGCTTTAAGCAATTAAACCCAACAAAATTAAGGAAATGGATTTCTCTTGATACATTTAAGCAGAAGTTTGCATGAAAACCCATTTAACAAATAGGAAATAAAAATGAAGTAAACAGTATGTATTAATGGAAAAGTTTTAATGTAGATAAAAGAAAGCAGAAAGAGCAAGAAATTTCTGGGTTGAAGAGTGAACATTATTTACAGTCAAACTAATATCCTTATCTTTGTAAGCATCACAAAGCTTCAACCATTATGCCCTCTGAGCTTCTTCAGGTATCTGTCATGCCAAAGAATTACAAACTGAACTCTGTATTTAATCTATGGGGGTAGATTGGTTTCACCCCATTGTCCATATTTAGGGATCTCTCATCTTGTTCTTTATAGCACTGCACAATGATTGATACAGCTGTTTCCATGGAGGCAGAGTCCGTACTACCAAGTTCAGGGATTGAAGTCATAATTACCATCCGACCCTGGCTAGGTAGTACAGACTCAGACTCTATGAAAACAACATTAGCAATCACTGAGCAGTATCAAATAGGCACAAGAAGAATTTGTCCCCATAGATTCAAGGAAAACTGTTCAGGAAGGGCTCCAAGTTTGGAACTCACATATGAGATCTCTCTTGCGAAAGATGCTAGAGAAGAAAAACAGAGAGAAAGTCAGATTAGACCAAAAAATGGCAGATTGCAATCACATCTGCGATAGAGCTGCTCCATCCTCACTTTCCAGTTTTGATGGAACACAAAATCATTTATGCGGTCATGTACGAGATGACTTCTTTTAAACTCTACAGCCACAGATGCTCTCACTAATCTATTGCTCTTTCCATGGCAAATTCTCATTCTTCAGCTTTACCAGTTCAGACCTTTACTGGTAGAATTCAACATATATAGTACATGGAGTCAAATAACCTCTGTATTCCATTTGTAATGAGGAAGTTCTACTTCACTTTTTCCTGAGAACTGCTACTTTGTGGAACAGCTTCCCTAAACATGACAGTCTTAACCTCTTCAAGTCAAGGGTCAATCACTATCTATCCTCCTTATCTTCACTTCCTTATATCTCCTTTTACATTCATATCACATGACTCCTTCAGTAACCCTCTACCATGAGTGGCTCTTGAGCCTTGTATTGTGTGAAACTTTGTAGTAACAAAATGTTTGAATTTACCAATACCTAAATAAGGCTGGCAAGCACAACAGTTGAAACATTGTGCCAACAACAAAGATGAGAGTATTAGTCTAACATAAGTACTTTAGTACAGACTATTACATTGTCTTATATAAGACATTGTAATACATTATTACATTGTCTTATATAAGTCTTATATGAATAAATATTGATCAAAATAATTTGCAGTTTTTTTCCTTGGTTGAAAATCTTCCTCTGAATAGAGATAGAGAGAGAAAGAAAATAAAAAAAATTTAAAATTCATAAAATTGCAAATATTCTTGCAACAAAACAGGTCTTGCCCTCTTCTGATAGAACAGTCATTTTAAATTTACCCACCCTCTCCCAGAAGAATGAAGTAATTTAACTTGACAGCTAGACTAAGAGACCAGGCAAAAAATAAATAAAATAAAACCGTTTGTAAAATACAAGAAATGAAATAAAAAATAAAATCCCCACCCCCGAAATGATTTACAAATAAGACCATTAACTGAATCATAAGACAAGGCGGCAACAACACAGGCAAAAATTATACACCTTCATGCACTTATATGAAAAGAATATTTTTTTTTCCTAAATAAAAGACCCCCTTCCTCCAGTTGCTGCTTCTGTGAAGTGTTTGAAATAGTTAATAGAAGATTAATGCTAATATCTGTGGAAAATCAAAGGTCAGTTGAAATCAACTTTGGAAAAGGTCATTGACCAACTGGCTAAAGAGACCAACTACAGCATGTCCAAAAAATATATTTTAAAAAAATTATGAAAATCCTACATCTTAGAACTTTAGCTAGGCCGTAGAATATATCGGCTGAAACGTTGAGATGAAATCAAAGACAATAAAAGTAGCACCTTGCAACGGCTGGACATCTGCGGTTATCTCCCTTGGATTTGTCGAATATAGAAATGAAGTTAGGAAGGGAATTAATTCAGTGTAGAAAAATACGTTATTTCAAAAGTTTATGAATTGGGACGTAAATTTACCGTCGGAAACTAAAATCGGTGCACATTCTATATATTTTCATCTGAATAAATTACTTTCACCAAATTAAAACTGAATGAGCGACTTATCCATGAAGTATATTGTTTTGCAAAAGCCTAAGAAATGTGGCTGAAAACACAAAAGGAATCTTTGATAAAATACAACTCATTGCATTAGTCATTATTCGAAATAAATCTGAACATAATTTTGATTTAAATGAAGCTTTTATTAAAATTGAAAATAATTTTTAGAGGAAAAAATCTATAGAAAGTGCACTAATTTTTTAATCATCCTTCTACAATAGATTTACTTCCACAATCTTACAACATATCACCTTAAGTATATCCTAAAAAGGGCTGCATTAATTTAAAAAAAAAAAAAAAAAAAAAAAAAAAAGAAGATAAGAAAGTGGTTTCATGTGCCACCGTATACTATAGCTATAGATGCCTACTACTGGGCTTGAGCTTAAATTTATACCAATAAGATGGTTAAAAAAAAAATAAAAAATAATATGTAAATTCATGTAACTTGCCCCAAGCATTAGATGAACCCTGTATCAATGGTTTGCAACATTATTTTGTTAAAAGTTTCCCTGCAGAAGGCAAAGTTTTGTTTCTTTTATGTCTATGGTCATCCAGGACAGACAATCTTAGGTATCCAGAGATTCCTTTTTATCAGTGTAATTCCATGCCTTCTTGAGAAAGATACTGGAGTAGTTTTCCTTGTATTAGACTAATTTCTATGCAAGGCTAGAGAGACAAATCTAACTAACTTTTTAACCCATAGCTGGGGAGAGAAGAGATTGATTGATGTCTTTCTTGAGGCCATTTGTGCAAAAGTGAATGCAGAAGGCTAGGTTGGATTCTGAACTCAGATCATCAATTCTATTTCCTGCACTGAGATGAGTTATACTATATACACCACATGAAAACAGAACTGCCGAGAAAAATTTACCACTTTGATCAGCCAATCTCCTTTCTAGGTAGGGATATGTTCAGAGACATCCAAAATTGTTGCTTATCTACAGAGAAGTCCAAGAGGGAAATTAGAAACCTCTAAAGCAGAATGGACATTCTTGTAAAATTCAGAAAATTGTTTGAAGGTTCTAAATTCAAAGTCATTTCTTTAATAATACCAAGAGAAGGAAATCAGGGGTTCTGTACAGATCCTATGAACTTTTTCCATGTGCCATGTTCCCTTCAGGATGTAGGCGATCATGGCTCTCCACCTCATCCTGTCCCTTGTAGCTCTCAATAAGTTTTGTCATTTTGTTACTTCTCCCAGACCCTGTTCTGCTATCCACTTGCTTAAGCCCGTTAAGTATGTCATGCACTGCTTTCCTTTGTTTCTCTTTCCCACTATCTTCCTTGTGAGTATCAGATTTTCCAAGTCCTCCTTTCTCGTTCCGTGTCCCAGAAGTTTCAGCTGCTTTTCCTGAGGTTAAGTATAAGTTTCCTCTTTGCATCCCTTCCAAAACCTCATCATTGCTCACATGTTCTGTCCATGGTATTCTGTAGAACTATACCTCTGTTGCCTCGAGTCTTTTCTTCATCTTTGAGGAAACTGATCAACATTCGCTGCCATAGAGGAGGACAGATATCACATAGCAGTTCAGTACCCTTTTCTGTTAATAAAGAAACCGTAATATTCTTCCTAGCTTTTGAGATGCATCTTTGGCCATCCCAATACGTCTTCGGATCTCAGCATTGCACTTACCATTCTCTGTCAGAACACTTTCTGCACCTGCTTGAGTTTAGTGTCCCTGATATGTAAATTGCATTTTGAGCTCATCTTTTTGATGATGACCATGCATTCTGTCTTCTTGTAGTTTATGCTTAGTCCTTTCTTCTCACTCTCTGTCGATATCTTCTGTAGGAGGTTTTGTAGTTTCCTTTCTGTATCTGTTATCAGCACTGTGTCATCTACATATTTTATGCTGTTAAGATTTTGGCTGATAATAATGAATCCTGGTAGGACATTTACTTAGAATTGCCTCGCTGCATAGGTTGAATAAGTCTGGTGAGATAACACATCCTTGTCTTACACCCCTTTCTATTTTTGTGCATCTGCTGAACTCATTTTTTTTTTTATCATTATGCAGGCAGTTTGCTGCCAGTAGGGGTTTTTGATTATCCTAATGTCTTTCCCAAATATGTCAAGGTCACTGAGCAACTCTAACAGATAATGTCTTAGATGCATGGCCTGTTGTTTGGCAGTTGGAGAAATGTCACAATATGAGAAATATTTCAACTGGACAACACTTGTTTCCCAAAAACATTTGTATCCAATTGAGAGTGTAACAAAGAAACTTTGGATAGTTGAACCATACATTCTCCTACAATGTGGCAAAAATTGAGTGCACTTGTTATCATTCAACTGACAACCATTTATATACTAACAAACCCAGCCGAACAGAAGCAAGAGACAATAGAAAAGTGAGCCTTATCCAACAAAATGTGTAGAGGTAATTGATTGAAAGATCCAATTACCTGTGAGGAAAAAGTGCAAACCAAATAATCGCTGAGTGAAAGAAAATGGATGTCGAAAATTATTCCTCGAAGAGAAGCTGTGCTGTAGCGAGTGCCCAGTCCTGCCGTCTTGGAGATTTCAGAGTCATAGATGAAGCGATAAGAGGAGTACCTGTAGAAAGAAAGAAGAAAACTTAACAGAGAGCAAATGCAAAGAAAATAGAAATTTCTTCATGAGACATTCAATGATATTTAGAACACAGCAATTAGAGGAGAATGCTGTTAGCAACAGAGAATTGTAGACCATCTGAGCTCTCATGGTTGTACTAATCAAGAATGTTTACACATCTATCTATACAGTATTAGGCAAACAAATTTGCCCTTTTCAGTGTAACCATATACAAAAGTGCAAAGTTAAATTCTTAGACTTGTATCCAGAAGAAATTTCACTGCAAAAAAAAAAAAAAAACCAAGTAAAATGTATTATCTCTAGCACAGAGAATATTTTCTCTTTGGTTAAAAATAGTTGAAAAATTTCCCCACCAGGTGTTCAAAGCTTGTTTAAAAAAAAAGAAAAAAAAAAAGGATTTTGTATGGTTATTTTCAATGGTCAGTCTGAAAAATTATCAAATATTTTGGAGGTCTTCAATCAGAATTCTTTCGTTTCTGAATAAAGATGATGATTATAATAATAATAAAGTAGTAGTAGTACAATAGTACATTTTGGGATGAAGACACTATATAATAATGATTTATTGTTGCTTCCCAACCAACCTCCAAAATTTCAGATTGTTTATAGATAATGTACAACAATCATAATCCACTTATAAGAATCGTTCAAGATAATTGGAGAATACCAACGCTGCATATGATTTGAGTCATCAAATGGTAAGACTATTGTTGGGTTTCATTAATACCTGAATAATATCAGGAAGACAAATAAGTGTTCCAAAGCAACTGCAATCATCATAAACTAACTTTTTACAACCAGACCTATTTTTCTCCAGTCTTTGACATTAATTTCAAGAGTTTTCAGGTTGCCTTGAAACATTTTTTATGGGATTTTTTTTAAAAAACAATGAGGGGGGGCAATGTCTCTTTCCATTTAAATGTATGTCCAGCACATAATGAGCAGTTTCTCTATGATGGATGTTTTGGCCCTTCTGGACAAAAAGGTTGCTTTAAAAAATTTTATAGACATTAAAAATCTACAGATAAAATTCCTTTGTAGTCCACTTCATGTTGTAATGAATCAAACAGGAAACCCATTTGTCACAAAAACCATATTCATGTTTGTTCTTTGGAGCATAATTTAACAAATAGACATAATCAGGGATTTTTTTTTTCCTTATTCACATAAGAGAATCACAAAATCAAGTAAGTTTAATTTGTGAAGTGGTAACAATAAAGAAAAAAGTATGAAAAGAAATCCAATGATTTTTTTTTTTATTCTGACATTTGGTCAGATTTTGGGGAAGCATTTATTGATTTATGTTAAGATAATGAAGAATTGGAGTCACATAGCCAAAGTTCTCCAAATAATCTTCACATAAGATTTGGTTTCCTCAGGTTAAATTTTATTTTTTTTTTTTTACAAATCCAAAGTATGATAAATCATGTCTGGCCAAATATCTAAAGAGAAAAGGCAGCCAATGTCCCTGATTTAACAAACATTAAATCAGGACAATATTTTAAAATTATTCTTGAAGATAAATCTGTGTCCAAAGCAACAGTGTCTTTAGAAATAATTTTGAGAATCAGACCAATTTTGGGCAGCCAATCAGAATGGATCTTACTGTACACATATGAAAAAACTCTCACTCATAGGGTTACACAGGCAACAATGAAACATCTTTGAGTGAACTTCTATAGTGTGTGATAATAACATTCACAATTACATAAATCAAGTTTGGCTTTAAACTCAAAATCCATGAAAGCTTTCAGTCTTTGGCAAGTGAATCCATAAACAAAGCCCAGATAAAACTTCAGTATTCAAAATTTGTTTGCTATTCTGTTGAAAGTGATCTGGGAGTTCTGGGAAGATTTCAACAAGCAAAACACTTGAAAATGTCAAACACTTGCAAGTTGCAATTTAAAGAAATCAAGGACTGGCAATGTGAGGACTGGAAAAAAAAATTCTAGGAATCCACAGCTGTCCAGAAAGTATCCAGCCCTTTTAAATATCTTGACTGCTTGTTCTTCACATCTAATGTTGGATGTTTTGGCTAAATTATTACATCCTCTTCTCCCAGATCTGTCAATCTGTCACCTCCCATAGTCCATGGGTGGCTGGCTCTCTCTGGCTTTGACCAAAGCTAAAACTAATATTACAAAGGAGATTTCAGAGAGAAGATAAGATTAATACTTTCACTACTGCATTGTCACTGTGCCGACCCAATTCGTGGAAAAATAGGAAATTGCAATTTACTGGAAATCAATGCCTGTAAAGATACCAACAGTGATTTATTTATTATTTTTTTTTTTTCATGGAAGTTGCCATTTTGGTTTTAACCAGATACTCTGCTATACAGATTAAGCTAAACAAGAACCCTAACACACAATATAATAAAAAAAATACATCATTATCATCCATTATTTTATGTCTATGCTGGCTTTGCAAATGGCACCAAGTGTGGGTTAGTTTATAACACAAACAACAGGGGGCGACATTTCAGGGCATCTTGAAAATGTACAGACATGCTGACGGCATAAAGACATACATCATGAATATGTGGAGAGACGTCGACAGCTGCTAATGTCAGTTTTGTAAAGATTCATAAAGGTGTGAGGAAATGTTAAAAACAATGTGACAAAGCAGCTGATCTAAAGACAACTTTGTCTGACTGTTTCTAAAAGTGGACAGGATCTAGAGTTTAAAGTGCAGGACGTCCCAAAGAAAGTGCTTTGAAAATAAAGATCCCATTACTCAAAGTAGGCTATACTTGTTTTTTTTTTTTTTTTTTTTTTTTTTTAACATTAAATGGATAGGTCCTCTTCAAACATCTTCTATATTCCAAAATATTTAAAAGCCAATCAAACCAAATAAATAGCTACTTGCATTATTCGAACTGTTATCCTCATCTTCACAATGTTTCGACTGCCGTACACTCTAGTCTTATTCAGGTGATTGGAATTTCAAACTGAACTCCATATTTCGTCCACCGGGGTAGATTATTCTAGTTCCACATGCCATACCTCTTCTGGATAAAGACGTTGGTTAGATCCATTGGCTCGACCCAAAGGGTTGTGAGTTCAATACCAGGCCACAGCAGTGGTAAGCCTTACTTGGATAGATGAGTTAAACGAAACGTTGTGAATATGGCAAATGACAGTCTGAATAATGTAAGTAATCATAATATCTCATCTCAGAGATAGAGACAGGTATCAAATAAATGGTCACTAAAAAAAGTGAGTTTGGAAAAGGAATGGAAGCTAAGTTTGCCAAACAAAACAAATTTTGAAATGATTCAACATTATGAATCTGGAGAGAAGCAGCTCAAGATACAGACACACACTTTTTTCTGCAAGTTTAGATTGTTTCACAAATTGTTAAAGCCATCCATGATTATTTCATCATTACATTTTAGCCAAGAAATTGTTTTGACCACATTCGCAGAGAAAGGAGCATGAGAGACTCCCACAGGAATTTCATGTCCACATAGAAAATGCTCTAGAATAGAAAACTTTACTTTCTCCTGAATAAATTTTATATTTGAAGAAGGCTGAAGACTGCCTCAAGCATTAAAACATATATTTACAAAAAATAAATAAATATTAATCCCAATTCATTAAATTATGCTAAAGTTTCAGGAAAGCAATTGGGAAAGACTGATACATCAACTAAAATACACCGTCAGATTTTATTATTAGTTGGTTCTTGACCAACTAATATTGATAAAATTTTCAAGACATACTTATATAAGCAATATATCATGTAAGATTCAGCTAATAATATCCATCCTTATTAAAAATATTAGTAATTTGTTTGGAAGGTGTCATGTTTTATTAGGCAAAGCGCAATGTAATTTTTTATTTTATTCGTAATAAAATCCAAAAGATATAGGCTCCAGAGAGAAATTTGATGGCCACAATAATATCCCATAGACCTGAACAACTTTTTACATATTAATATAGAATCCTACAACATTTGTAAGCTCTTCAATTGTTGATTTTATTTTCTCTACTGTTTTGACATTAACATTACTTACAGTTTTATTGCTTCCCAGAGATCTTCGTTTCTTCAATATTATTTTCAATTCTCATATACATTATTTCCAGTGATAGACGACACTTGTTTTTATTGGATGAATATCTAGAGGTTGGTAGCTTTTGCTATTAATTTGTTTCCAATCTGTTTGGAATGACCAGTAAAAACATGCCTTAACCAAATTTATAGACAAATCTTACAGATGCTTGCTGGGATTTCTTCCTAATCAATAAAAATTGTCAAATTCTTGATCTCATCCTGCATATTTTTGTTCTTTGTTGTTACAAACACCATTCTTGCTTCATGAACTTTTTGTCTTATTATTTTGGCTTTGCTTAATATTGTCTTGCATATAAATTATTTGCTTAATATTGTCTTGCATATAAATTATTTGCTTAATATTGTCTTGCATATAAATTATTTGCTTAATATTGTCTTGCATATAAATTATTTGCTTAATATTGTCTTGCATATAAATTATTTGCTTAATATTGTCTTGCATATAAATTATTTGCTTAATATTGTCTTGCATATAAATTATTTGCTTAATATTGTCTTGCATATATATTGTTTAGCATTATTTTGCCCTGTTCTTTTTCTTCCTTTTCTTATTGTTTGTTGAGAACTTTTTCAGGTACACTTAACCATCACCAATTACTCCACGGATAAGGTGAGCCGTAGTAAGCTTTGTAGAATGTAAAAGGCTATTATTGTCTTGAATCAATATACTCTTATGTATAAAGCATCTTTCTGTGACTTGTACCACTGAAAATTTTCTTAACCAAGAATTTCCAATAATTCTCTACATTTATCTTCATCCCATCATCGACCTGAAAGTGAATAATAATTTTACTGCTCAAAATATGAGAAGAAAGCATTAATTCACCTAACCATTGTGATCCTTTAAGTTACCCTAGTTGAGTATTTCCATGAAGGACCCAAACTCTAGCCTGACCATCTGATCCAACCAATATAGTTCAGCAGTAAGCATTGAAAATTACTGTTAAGAAATCAGTTTTCATGTACTTCTTCAGTCAATTTACAGGTTTGTCTTTATGACGTTTACTTAAATGGGGTTAGGTAATAGATTTAACATTTTATTAATACTAGAAAAACAGATATATTAAAACTGTATATAAAAAACAAACATGGGAAAGAAGTGTAAGGATAATAAAATAAATTAGGGTGAGGGGGGGGGATTGAAGCAATAAACAAGAAAATAAAGGAAAAGAAGCTAACCAGTTTTCGATCCTCTCTTTTCTGAGTCAATCAAGGACAAACGTGTAAATTGGGTACACATCATTAAAAAACAGAAAAAAAAAATAAATAAATAACAATATATTAAGAATAGCCAGGGAATCAGCAGAGGAGAGAAAGTGTGTGTGTGTGTGTGTGTGTGTGTTAGCTATCAATTTTCTAAAGAAGTAAGGGATTTATTTATTTATTAATCTGACAGATTTTATAATTTTAAACATTATTTTTAGTGGATACCCATATTTGAGTAGATGTTCTGTTTATTTATTAAGCAGTATATTTATTTATTTTCATCTACCGGCCTGAAAGAAAAATATACACTCACCAGCAGGATTTGAACCTGCATCAACCTGATCAGAAGAAAGCATCATTAAATCCAATGTACTCTAGGCCAATTAAGCTATGAAAAATGGAGCAAGACTGAATCGTGCCTTTAAGTAAAATTTTTCTCATCATAAACTCTTGAAGTTTTCATATCTGCTCAGTTTCATATGCAAACATAAACAGAGCAATTTTCTAATGGTTTTTTTTATTTATTTATTAATCTGACAGATTTTATCACACTGAAAGTTATTTCTAGTGGATACTTGTATTTGAGTAAATGCACTGTTTATTTATGAAATAATACATTTATTTATCCTGCCAGAGAGCATACACTTTCTGTTTTGAAGATTTCTTGCATGTTTAAGCTAACAGACAAAAAAAAGAAATATACTGTTTATTAAATAAACAGAGCATATGCTCAAATACAAGTATCCACTAAATATATATATATATATATATATATATATATATATATATATATATATATATATATATAGCAGTGAGATGTCACTAGAGTGTCTTCTCCAGGGCGCAGGACTGGGCAGGGTTTTATGAGAGATCAGTGGTTGCCCATACAGCACGTTTCCCCTCTCCACAGCAGCGATGTTGTCCAAAGGAAAGTCAGAGGCTCATACAGCTTTACACCGGTGTTATCACAAGAGTTGCCAGAATTAAATTAAACATATTGTACTATTTAGGGACTCAGGCTCTGGATTTGTGCTCAGGGTTTACTACCAAAGCTTTTCCCATGATTGGGTATGGATTCAAGGCAGCAGAGGTTTAAAATCAATTTTCCTTTCCTTTTTTATTTTTTTTAGATGAACTACCCTCTCAGGCTGATGAGTTACATCTACCTGAAACAACAGTATACTGATGGGAGGATTCCGAAGGGCCTTCTGTCTGGGGAACTGGCCACCAGCACATAGGCAACCCTATCTTCACTTCAAGGACATTCACTAAAAAGAGACATGAGGGCATGAACATGGACAATGAGAGGTGGAATACGTCACCAATAATTGCTCATGCTGGAAACATGATTTACACCGACGATTGGCATGAGGAAAGAAGAAATGGGAACTTGCCGCCAGGAAGAAGTGTAACTTAAGGAAAAAATCAACATGGTAACATTAGAGAAGAGCAACTTCACATGCAGTTATTGTAAATGTGACTGTCACTCACATGTGGGCCTGTACAGCCTTAACAGATGCTGTGCCAGCAGCTGAGGCATAATTTCTTGGGTACAGATCCATGGTCTCTCAAGACTGACAGATGTCACATAACACCCACACACATTTTATTTATATATATATATATATATAAAAATCACACTCCAATTTTGCAAATTTTCTCTCTGTATTTGCAATACCAATTCTTCAAATATTTTCTTCATCATCAAGGTATTTTTCTTATTTCCATTTTAATGTTTTCTCAAATCACTTTTTCTGAGATTCTGAAAGCCAGATTTGTTTTCTTTTATTCTTATTTTACCAATTTTCTTAGTTTCTCTTTTCGACTCTTCTTTCATCAACATTTTTACAATTTCCAATATTGTGTTCATATTACTCAATAGCTTTTCAATATCTTGTTTTTCTTTTGATTTCAAGAAATTGACTTGCATCATGAAATTTGACAATGTATACTAAAAGAGAATGTCGAATAGTAAGGACTTATCTGAAAATTTACAAAAAGACATAGTAAAGATAAATGATTAACTTACTAAAAATATCAACATAAGATACTTACTTATTGACAGCATCTGCCAAGACACTTGGGTCATCAGATGCTAAATAAACCTGTTTTTGTTCTATTCGTTTGCCAGTATTTAATTCCAATTGTTTATAATATTCTTCTACATGCATCATGTATTCTTCAATGCCATGATAAGCAGCTTCTGTTCCAACTTTGTCTGTTCGACGCACATGTACACTGAAAAAGATACATACACTTTAAAACCTTTCAAATGAAAAAGGCTACCTCAATTCTTTACAACTAAAAGAACTGATTTTTTTCTTTTTGCAATGGCAGGATAAATTTTAGACCCTTGGAGCTATCTCCATGCTAATACACATTTATTTACTTCATTCTTAACACATATCAACAGATACACATATACAAGATGCAATAAATATTGTATATATATTTGTGTATTTAGGCAGCAAAATTCTCTTTTAGGCATGTCTGATTGAATTAATTATAGACATTATGTCTGCTAATTTCTAATAAAATCCAATCATACTCACGAATAACTTTCCATGTATTAATGTTAAAGGATGAGAGAAATGGGCTATAACTGTTTAAATTTCTTTTATTTTCATTTCACAAGTACTTTCGATTTTCTTGAAGATGATCTTGGAAGTAGTATATGTTGTTCATTTGTACAAGTATTTATACAAAGTTGTGCATTGTTATCCATTACTGTAATTTATTTAAAAAATTTAAAATAAAAAAAAAAAAAAATTAAACCCCCAAAAAAATTAAAAAAAAAAAAAAAAAAAAAAAAAAATTTGTAAAGATATCTAGAATCCTGAATACAATGATTTTATATAAAATTTCAATGTTTTTATATTTTATCTCACAGGTATCTTCATTTCATTTTTACTATTCTCCAGAAATGCAATCTATTTTCTCAAAAATCAAACAGTAAATAGAATTTGGGGGTCAAAATCCATCCAGGCCCACTTGTTGCCATTCATTCTTAAAACTACACATAATTATTATTCTGTTTATAATCAAATTTAGATTTTAACCTGTTCTAGACTAGCTTATTTTAGTATTTGTTTTTTATAAGCACCTTAGAGTTTTGACTTATATGTGGGTTGCTTAACTTTGGTGCAAGAATTAGTTCTCAAGTTGATTAAATGTTTTCATGCTTGGGGTTTAATAAATAGAAAAAAAAACATTCTAATGTGACTAAAATGGTTGAATTGGTAAAATACAATATAAAATAATATATTAGTAACTCTATTTTAGTTTAATAAAATAATTAAATAATGTATTAGTAACTTGTAAATTTTACGCTTTTCTCAAGTTCTTAAGCCACACTGATGCCATTAACAAAGCTGCTTAAGATTTAACCAAATTTGAGTAGTTTCTCATTAAATAAAAAAAAAAAAAATTTAACCCCCCCAAAAAAAAAAACACCGTATTTAAGTGAAAATGAATGCAGGTTTAAATGTCATCGGTTATGTCCCTTCGATTTGGTAATAAAAATAATCAAATTGACATTATTCCAATTTCAAAAGATGGGACTTAAATTAATAAAGATGCCTACCCTACCACACCCGACCGAAACAAAGAAAACTAAAAACATCCTTTTCTTTGGAAAGTTATTTTGGGAATCGGAAAGTGCAGGAAACATTTCAATTTTGAAGATAGTCATGAAAAATATTTAAAACGTCAATACTTTCAAGGGAGACAACTGTGAAAATCCTGATCTCCTGGAGCCATTGACATTTTTTTTTTCCTTTTGGAAGTGGAAGACAATATCAGTGTGCAGTTCCATTTGCATTAGTGCTTTGCAAAGCACAAAGCCATAGATTAACACCAGACTGAACATTAACCTGGTTCTAAAAGATGGAACTAGTATCATACCTGATTACTAGGTTCACTATAGTCACAATTGCCAATTCAAAGAGAAAGATAGGGAGAAAAAGAGAGAGAGAGAGAGAGAGTTGTGTAGCCCATCCCTTCCACAGACATTCATTATTACACAATGAAGCTGTGCCTGATTCCATCCAAACAGATGGAGTCACTCAGCTCAGTATTTTGTAATAAAAATGACATTCTTCACCTTGGTAGATTTTTGAGTCATGTAAAAGACAAAGATGGAGATAGAAGGCAAGAGAAATTTCAACATCTTGCCCAAGGGTGACATGGAATGAAACAAAGTAGAAATGTTCAATTTCTTAAGAACAATAAATACCTACATTTCTAGTTGTTTATTTATTTTTTTAACACCAGTGAATCTGACAAAAAAGATGACTAACAGAGAGTGAGACAGACAGACATAGATGGGGAATTGAGAGAGTAAGAAAGATAAAACGGGAGAAGAGGTGAAAGAATAAAAGAGAGAAAGAAAGTGTGTGTGTGTGTGTGTGTGTGAAAGAGAGAGACAGAGAGAACAGATATGAGAAAAAACAAGAGTAGGGAGCACCTGAAAGAGAAATGTAAATACAAAAAGAGGAGGAAACGAATGGTGGTAGGAGAGTGAGAACAAAAGCAATGAAGCAAATGAAGGCTAAAGTGGCCAAGAGAAAGTGAAAGAGAAAGTAAGTGCCCCCCCCCACAACCACTTCATCTTAACAGTCCCATTCCCATGCAAATTGTCCATTTCTAATTGTGCCAAAACTTACCCGACAATTGGGCTTTTAAAATTCAAACTCTGTTTGGCTTCTTCCAGGTCATGTGCCAAATGAGGCTGAGGTCGCACTAAATATTTAACAAATTGTCCAATCCACCAAACTGCGGGGTCACCATGTAGCCGCAAGAGTCGTGGAGCAAGATCTTCTGGAATTGCGAGTGGAATGAAATCTGGCTTTGGGTAGACATTGTCAATAATGGGTAATTCCACAACTTGGACATCTTTTAAGGTGGCAAGGGCTGTAGAGAAAGTGAAAAAAATAATTTTGAAACAAAAATAATAAGTCGATCTCTCCTCTCATAATTCTGCAATTTGAAGAATGTCAATTGGCAGCACAAATCATGATACAGGATTTTACATAAAACATGCTTCATAAATTTTATTCATTTCTCTGTTGTCAATATTGTACTGAAGTCATCATATTAAATATATATATATATATGTGTGTGTGTGTGTGTGTGTGTGTGTGTGTGCACACACACAAAAAAAGGGAGAGGAAGAGCAAAGATAAGAAAAACAAAATACTTGCCATAAAGTGGTGAACAGAAAAATATAACAAAATAAAAATCACAGAAAAAAAATTTGCTGACTGGTTATCATTCGTTGCTCTTGAGAGCCAAATGATTGATTGACTGATTGGTTATTTTACCAGCATATCAACCACTATGGGTCATTAAGGCCAAAATGGGTGGTTGGTTGGTTTGAGAGCTAATCAAGGATAAAAACATGTGCACAATGACTAAAGAAAATCTGATTTATATTGCTGATTCTGTGATAGTAATTTTCTTCCCCCCCCCTCTTTAGTCATTATATGCATATTTATAGGCTTTTGTCCTCAATTGGCTCTGAAGAGCAAGGAGCAATAACTGGTTAGCCATTTTTCTTTGATTTCTTTTTTGTTATATCTTTCTATCTAATACTTTATGATGAGTAATTGCTTTTTTTCACCAAATCAAATACAAAGACAACTATCTTTCTGTAGAACACTGATAATTATTTTAATTACATTCCAGCTAATGTTTTCATCTTTGTTTTTATTATCCCAACATTTCAGCCATTGTATCCTTTGACCTTCAAGTACCTGTAGATTAGGATAAACTTCTGGGAATATTCATTTAATCCTTGAGGGCTGATTGCTTTTGTTTCCTTGTCCATATCAAAGGATATCTCATCCTGTTTGTTTTAGTACTGTTAAAATTTTGCTAGTCCAGTTAATGCTTAGTCTAAACCCAGAGATTGAAACTGTAGAATAAAGAAAGAGTTTGTTTTGAAATTCCCTAAAAATTAGCCAGATTGAAAAACACCTGAAGAAGGCCGAAGGGAATAGCCACCAAAACTTTGGGATATCAACAACAAAGATGAGGATATTAGTTCAAATGTAAATGTTGATAACTCCTCATCCCAGAAATTCAAACAGAAATTACTTTTATTACTTTAAAATATTTTTTTCAGGACATAGGAAATTGTGGAGAGCCATGATCACCTATCTTTGTAGCTCTTAATAAATTTTGTCTTATTTTTATCTCTCCCAAACCCTGTTCTGCCATCCATTTAATCAAATTCACTAAGTAGGTTATGTGTTGTTTTCTTGTCTCTATTGCCTTCAATCTTTCTTATGAGTATCAGATTTTCCAAGCCCCTTTTCCTTGAAACCTTAACTGTCTCTTCCTGATCATAAGTTACTACAGTTTAACAAAAAAGAAAAAAGAAAAAAAAGAAACTGGCCAAAGTCATTGACATTAAATAAAATATCCTCTTACCCAACTGTTGTCTCACAAGGTTCCCTGTGAAATTTAAAAAATATTTCAGGTTCTGAAATTTTGTTTTCACAATTCATTTTCAAAATTTTAAATTTTACTTTCTTCAAATAGTAAAACTAATCTACTTTAAATAAAAAGAAGTTGAACAAAATTTTAAACATTTAGCTTATGGTCAAATTTATTTGGTAAGAGCAACAAACTTACAGCCTAACCCAAATCCCAATTTACAGCTGTTGTCCATGACAAAATATGATAATGAATGGAAGAACAAGATTAAAATAATGAATTCAATATTGTGCCATTTACCAGATGTAAAAGATATTTGAAACATAAGGTGTATTGTATAGGTCAATGGAGATTTTCTAGATAAGAATCATGACCGCCAGTACTAATTTCCAGGAAACTCGGAAAACTTTTTATTTATTTTCAATAAAACTACAAAGATAAAGACAGCAAAATAACACTACTGAATAGAGCAAGTTATCAGCTAGAAAGCACAACTGAAATTTGTCATCCACAACCTAACTGTGCTCACATCCACAATTTGGTCTTCCTTCAACTAACGTCAGTGAATGCCAACAGTTGCAAATTCTGCTTTGTATGAACCTTCATGTCTAGCTGCTATCTATAATAATGAGAAAATAAATGACAGGCTTTTGATAGGAACTCCTACTGCCATAGCACCAACATCCGCTTCTGACATTGTGGGCCTACATTTACAGTGATATTTTTTCTCCTATG